GTTTTGCTGATGACACTGTTGGGGATTTATTCAAAATTGAAGGCACACTGAACCAGCATGGCTACCACAGCATCCTGCAGCGACATGCCATCCCATCCGGTTTGCGTTTAGTTGGACGATCATTTATTTTTCAACAGGACAATGACCCCAAACACACCTCCAGGCTGTGTAAGGGCTATTTGACCAAGAAGGAGAGTGATGGAGTGCTGCAGCAGATGACCTGGCCTCCACAGTCACCGGACCTGAACCCAATCGAGATGGTTTGGGGTGAGCTGGACCGCAGAGTGAAGGCAAAGGGGCCAACAAGTGCTAAACACCTCTGGGAACTCCTTCAAGACTGTTGGAAAACCATTTCAGGTGACTACCACTTGAAGCTCATCGAGAGAATGCCAAGAGTGTGCAAAGCAGTAATCAGAGCAAAGGGTGGCTATTTTGAAGAAACTAGAATATAAAACATGTTTTCAGTTATTTCACCTTTTTTTGTTAAGTACATAACTCCACATGTGTTCATTCATAGTTTTGATGCCTTCAGTGAGAATCTACAATGTAAATAGTCATGAAAATAAAGAAAACGCATTGAATGAGAAGGTGTGTCCAAACTTTTGGCCTGTACTGTACAAAGTGATTATTGTGGTCGACAGAGTTTTTCAATATAACCAAGGAGCTTTTTTCTTCATCACATTGGTTGAGATGGGCTTCTGCAGATAACAGACAGACTCAGTGTGGCGGGGAAATGTATCATCTTTACAAAGTCTTTTTTAACATGGAGACCTTGGATCGGATCCGGCTGCCATCTTGCGGCTCATTTCCATGCTGAGATGTTGTCCGACTGTGCTGTGGAGGAGACTGAAGAGGTTTCACTCTGTGCTGAGAGGTGAAGTGGGTTCAACAGTAAAAGATGAATGACATGTCTTCATCACTGAAGACCTCCTGGAATGCAGATAAATGAGATCGACCAGCAGGAGAGGACGAGCGGGGAGTTTCCCTTTGGTTTCTTCCCCAGTGGGATGAGACGTGAATGGATCCAGTGACCCAGTTTGTCCTGATTGACGGAGCAGATTTTCTCCCAGAGCTCTCCTCCGCTGACTCAGTGTCTGACCTGCACATGTCCAACAAAACATCCGCACATCATTTTGTAATTTGATGTCCTCCTTATGTAATATGTGACCCATTTCATTTCTGTCGACTCAGCTCACAGCTGTGGGTTGGTTCATGCATAGTTCCTTGGCATCGACTGTCTCCTCTGGTTCTTTTTAGACTTTGGCAGCCAGGCTATCAGATGTCTTCTGCACTGGGCTAACTGCAGCGGTTCTCCACATAAGAAGACTTTGAGTGACCTTCATGGTTCACTTCTGACCCATTTATGAGTCAGCGGCTCTGGAAGGTCTGGCGGGAAACTCGGCTAACTTGATTCTGCCTTTTCGGGAAACTCTTGAGCAACATTTTCCTCTCACTGCCACGCTGTCTTCCACGCGAAACATCCATAAATCAGCACTGTCAACTCTTTAAAGTACTTCATGACTCATATGTTTAGTCAGAAAATGCAGAGCTCAAGCCCAGAGATACAAAACTGAACGCCAGCATGTTCTGCTTGTTACAGCTGCCATAGTTCATCTGCCTCGCTGTTATATGCTTGTATAACTCTTTCTGTTGCATGAAATATGTGTGGTTTTTACAGCCTCACATCACTGACTCACGTCCTCTTAAGGGTGTTTTCACACAGTCTTGTATAAACAAACTGAACTCAGTCCTCTTAAAGTGCACCAGAAAGTGGACCAACAGAAACGAGGCTTCTTTTTGTGTTCACATTTTCAGTTCATTCAAAGAAGACTCAGTTCTTTTTCTGGTTAACTTCAGCTCTGAAGGGGCCTCAGTCCTCTTTCTGTTCACACAATAACCTATACAATATATAGTTTTGTTTTTGCTTTGACGTGGCACTGCAGTGTAGTTATGAAGCCCCTTGCTTTCAGATGATCTTCTGTCTGTTGTAGACTGGTGCCGTTTGATGTATTCTACATTCCACATCTAGAGACATGCAGTATCTTCAGTGGACCAAAGCACTCCTCATCCTGCATCATAGCAAGCATTACAGGCCGACGTGGTTTCGTCTTTTTGTTCAAGCATCCCAGTGCAATATCACGTGATCTAAAGAGTTTAATACAATGACAAAAAGCAAAGTGACCCTGGAACGCTATGCGTTCACAAGATACAGGTTAAGCGAACCTCACCACTCACTTGAAGCACATCGAACGTTCAGTTTGCTTCAGAGGGGTCTGAGTTCTCTTGGGAGTGTTCCCATATGCACAAAAAATGCTATGTCACCGCTCTGAGTCCATTTAGAGGGCTGATAATCACCCAGTGGGGAAAATCCTAAGTGTCCTGCTGTCTGGTATAGAGGTTTTTCTTTTTTCCAGACAGAGATTAGGAGATACTGCTTTACCTTGACATGTTTCGACTGTCAACTTCAGTCTTCTTCAGAAGCGTCATCTGACGTGTGTTGTGACATGTCTTTATCAGCTGGTGTTTCCTTGAAGACGTGACCGGCCTGGCAATCTGACAGATCTGCCAGGCCGGTCACGCCCCCCGCCGCCCGATGATGGTCTCTGGAAGATAAAGTCCCAGGTGTGCGACAGCATGAAAGCCCCCTCATCCTGGTTGTTGATATCCCTGGCCCGCTTCCTGATCTCTATGGCCTCCTTGATCCAACGTTTGAATTTGTTGCTTTCTGACCCGATGACCTTCACGTTGTCCTAGTCCATGATGTGATTGTTTCTCTTGCAGTGATCGGATATGGCTGATTTTAAGTTTTCCTATTCTGCTTTTTCTTTTTGAGATCTTGTGAGTCGTCCTGTCGTTTCCTTTTCACATTCTTTTTTTATGTTTGATTTTTCTTGTATTAAAGCTTCTCCCTGTTTCTCCTATGTATGTTTTTTCTCATGTCTCACACCTGGGACTCTCTCCTCCAGAGACCATCGGGCGGCAGGGGGCGTGACCAGCCTGGCAGATCTATCAGATTGCCAGGCTGGTCACGCCTTCAAGGAAACACCATCTGATAAAGACATGTCACGACACACGTCAGATGATGATTCTGAAGAAGACTGAAGTTGACAGTCGAAACATGTCAAGGTAAAGCAACATCTCCTAATCTCTTCGTCTGAAAAAAAGGAAAACCTCTATATTATTTAATTGAGTAGACAAAATGAACCTAATCGCTGCTGTCTTGCAGCTTCCTACATCGGAAACCAAATGAGCTCTTAATAAGTGAGTGCCTTGCTCAAAGGCGTCACTTTGTCTTGAAAAGTGGTGGAGACATAAAGTCTCAAAAGAAAAACTTTTTTTTTTTTCAACATGTGTGATTTTAGGTGATGTAATGAGAGGTCAGCATGAGATCAGAGGAGATAATTAAGGTTGGTCGGGGGAAAAAAACATGATGGTGCATCAAAAGGCCACAGCCCAGGCTACTACCAAGGCCATACATTTTGTTTCAACACTGGGATCCATCCATCCATTTTCATCCTCTTATCCAGGGCTGGGTCTTGGGGGCAGCAGGCCGAGCAAAGCACCCAAGACGTCCCTCTCACCAGCAACACTTTCCAGCTCCTCCTGGGGGACCCCAAGGAGTTCCCAGACCAGATGAGATATATAATCCCTCCAGTGTGTTCTGGGTCTGCCCCGGGGCCTCCTACCAGTGGGACATGCCTGGGACACCTCTAACGAGAGGCATCCAGGAAGATCCTGATCAGATGCCCGAACCACCTCAACTGACCCCTTTTGGCACGAAGGAGCAGCGGCTCTACTCCGAGCTCCCTCCAGATTTCCAAATTCCCCTATCTCTAAGGCTGAGCCCAGACACCCTATGGAGGACACTAATTTGGGCCACTTTCATCTGTGACCTCATTCTTTCAGTCACTACCCAGAGCTCATGACCATAGGTGAGGATTAGGACGTAGATGGACCAGTAAATCAAAAGCTTTGCCTTCCCGCTCAGCTCCCTCTTCACCATGATGGTCAGGCGCAGCGCCTACATCACTGCAGAAGCTGCAGCAGACCATCTCACGCTTCATTCTACCCTCACTCGTGAACAAGTCCCCAAGATACTTGAATTCCCTCGCTTGAGGCAGTAAGGGCCCATCCCAATACCCCCCATTAGCCCTACCTTGGCCCTACCCCTGGTGTCCCAATTCCTTTTTGCGTGTAGGGGTAGGGGGCATAACGAGGGATAGTGGGTATGAAACTAGCCCTTTGGAGCGAGGGATTTCAGATGCTGACTTGCCAGCGAGGGGTAGATGTTGCCATGGCTGCCACCGAGCAAGAGACGGGGAAAAAAGTTCCTACATAGCTAATGTTACTGTCGCAACCGTCAGGTTGCTTGTTAGCTAGCTAGCTAGCTCGCACTGTCTGTGCTGTTCTGCAAAATTGTCGGACTTTTCACATTACGATAACACGCCAGCTAGCATAACTATGCTGCCTCGTAATGTTAGCTAGCTAGCTAGCTAGCAGAAGTCCCCTGTCGTCTGTCGTTCATCAAACAAAGCATGATGAATACAGCAAACGCGATCGGTAGGATGAACTCAACTGGAGACTCCATTGTAGATGTTGGTTGGAAATGTAGATGGCTCGCAGCTTCCTGTTTAAAATAGTTACGTATGTATGAAGGTAACCGATGCGTGACGTAGTGAGTGGTGTCCCAATTCCTAGGGAAAGATTTCAACTCTTACCCCTCGTTGCTTCATTTTGAGGGCCAAGGGGTAGTGGGCAAGAGGGGTATTGGGATTGGGCCTAACTCTTCCCCAACCCAGAGGAAACAATCCACCGTTCTCCAGCAGAGAACCATGGCCTCAGATTTAGAGGTACTGAAGCAGAGCCTGACCCATCTGACTCAACTTCTTTCCTCTGTCTATTCAGGATTTGATGTATTTGGTGTTACACAAGCTCTTCTCTTCATTTTAAGAGATGTGTAGAATTAACAGCTAGAATCAACCCCCCAGAGAGAACACACATTCATCTGTATAAATATATTTTTATTTCTGTCAGCTCGGTTATTAAAACCATCACCATCAGTTTACATCGGCAGCTTTATGTTACAGACATGTACATTATTTCAAACATTACAGTGTCATATTAAAACACATTTTAATAACCTTCTGTACGCACTCCTGTGACAGGACTTCATGTATTCATTCTGACATTATCCACAGCTGACCTGACCCAGACACAGAAGGCCTGACTCACTAAATCACAGCAGATCAGTGCAGTTACAGTACGCAGTGTGAACAACTGTTAATCCACAGGTGGACTAGAGGACTGAGTGGATCGTGAAACCTCAGAGGACAGATTGGAGTGTTTACATGCACAGTTTAATGTGAATAATTCTGTTCTGCTGGTGATGCATGTAAAATATTATGATGTTCAAACCTGGATACGATCACATGCTCAGTGTCATTTCATTTTCTGTTTGGTTTTAGGTGTTTTTTTGTTGGCAATGTATTTTTTCACTTCACTTCTTCATGTGGATAAACTTTCCCAGAATGCACTGCAGACGCAAGACATGTTTTCTGCATATTTCTGCAGTTTTGTTTCATTCGGCCACACAGACAGTCCCACATCCAGGACATTCACTTCTGCTGTCCATCAGTGTTGCTTTGTTATTTTCCCCCGAAGATAAAAGACAAACCGTTAAAGAGGCTGCATTTCTGACAGCCGACACTCGTAGTTTAACACAATTTTTATGTTTTAACAGGTTATTGCGATTATTGTGTTATTTTATCAATAATTCCATTTCAGCCCTTTTTAGATTTTAGCGTCTGCATCCTGCTCTGCCTCTCCTCTGGCTCTAAGGTCGACTCTGAGAAGCACTAGGGGCAGAAAGGCGTTCAGGTTACATGTTGTGTTAGTCTTTTAGTCGCTCTGAACTCAGTGCGTGGCCGATGCCGCGGCGGTCTGCTCCGACGGTCCCGTGGATGCTGCTCCTCCCTGGTTGAGGGCGACATGCGGCAGGGTGCTCAGCAGGGCCTTCTCCAGCTTCTGCTCCAGAGCGTCCAGGCGACGGTCAACGTGCTCCTTCAGCCTCCTCTCCATCTCCTCCAGACGACGCTCCATGGCTGAGTCCAACTCCCTTCAGAGTGGAGAGACAATGACGGAACATTTGGTTAAGGCAAAGAGCCTGCAGAGTAGAAGTTCCAAAAATGAGACGTGCACTCTTTGACCTATCGATTCACTCTGGTTTTTAAAGGCTCTGTACTGAAACTGAACCTGTTTGTATTAAATTGGCAGAAGACTGAAGATAACTGATGTCCTGCTGCAGAGGAACTGAGGCATGTTTCTCACATTGTCCCCTTCATTTTTTAATAATATTTAAGTCCAGGAACGACACTCAGTGTGACTGATCCATGAACAAACATGAAGCCACATCAGAGACAAAACCTCAAACATAAACTCAGACATTAAAAAAGCTGAACCACCCACGGAGTAGGAGCTGACCATCATCTTCCCCCGACCTCAGCATCCTGCTGCGTCCACCTTACTCAGCCACTTTTCTCTCTGTGAGTGAAACTCAGACAGCTGACTCTGGGTGGGTTTCATCCTCACCACCTGGAGAAAAAATTCAAAACCAAGACGCTTCTCTATTCCTTTTCAAATTTTTCCAGCCTTCCTGCGTGTCTTTGGGTTTTCTCAGCGTTACTTTTCACCCTCAAAGATCCAGAAGAATCCCAGTAACTCAGCCTCTCTCACAGCCAGGGGAAATCCTGACTGCTGCTGCTCAGCCTGTTTGACTTTATTTGGAGAGACAGAGGCTGCCCTCTTCAGGTCAGGAATTCAATTAAGGCATTCTGATGTCATAGTAAAAACTGGGCTGACATCAGTGTCTTTAAAAGCTTCTGTAAATGACCTGGACTGTGTCCTGGATAATCTTTAATCAGGGGAACACATGGCTTTAAAAGCTCTTTACAAAACTACAAATGAAACATAATTTATTATTGGATATATCATCCTTAGAAACAGCAGCTGGAGCTGTGGTGTTAAACTACTTTGATTATGCTGCCACCTTCTGGTAAACTCGCTCCTCACAGCCCAACCTAAGCTAATGAGAGTTGTTTTAAAGCCGTCCTCAAACATCTCGATGCAGGTCATTTAAAAACATGAAACCCTCTCCCCGCGGATTAAAGGTGCAAATTACAATGGATAGTTTTACAGTCACAAACTCCATCTGCTGCAAAAAATTATTCATATGATCAGACTCTGACGAGGCCTCCGTTCTGCTGTTCAGGAAACTGAACATTCTCTCAGTATATGACTGAAATAGTTTAATGTCACTTCTGTCTGACACTTCGTTTTCAATCTGCCACCCTGTCCTGCAACAGAGGAACACAACGGGTATAAGCTCGAAGGCTGTCTGTCTGTCTGTCTGTCTGTCTGTCATCTATCTATCTATCTACCTACCCATCCATCCATTTATCTATCATCCATCATGCATCCATCCATCCATTTATTTATCTATGTATCCATCCTTCCATGCATCTGTCATCCATCCATCCATCCATCAACTACGCTGAATGTCTGCTTCTCTTTGTGTTAGCTGATGAGTTGTTTCTGTGAATAAAACCTGTTTCAGCACAGCTGAAAGCAACGGCGTCCTGCACTCCTCAAAAAGCACTGTGGGAAATCACATCAAGAGGATTCAATAGGCAGGTTCGAGGCCAGTTAGCTCACAAGGAAAAAACAACAGTAACATTTCTTTAACATTTCACCGGAGCTAACTGTTATTAGCATCTTTGAAACAAGCACACATGACACACTGTTCTTTAAAAACTACGATGATATGTTTGTTTGTGAGTTTATAAGAGCAGCACTTACTGTTCCCCTACTGTTTAAATCTAATTTAAAGTGTTAAACTCTTTCAGTATTTCAGCCTGAGGTGTTTGTAGTGAAACGTACCGCTGAGCTGCTGTCCTCTCTTCGATGTGGAGCTCAGCTGACGTTCTCTCTGAGCCCACACGAGCTGCTCTGCTCGGACAAAGAGCCTCATTCAGCAAACTGCAGTCTGTCGCGGCAGCTCGTAAACACATGTTTCAGTGATCGCAGAGTGAAACTAATGTCAGTGATAAATAATATTTACTGACACTGAGCCTCTGCATCAGTGTTAGCTAAAAACAGCCGTTAATTCACTGAGGTTTGGTGCAGTTTGCCAACATTTGATGGATTCATAGCCGCACAGAGCTGCTGATAAATGAACTCTATTGTGTCTGTGTCAGCCTCCTCCCTGCACTGCATGAACCACGGGTCAGACCAGATCCTTCAGCTGCTCACTGAACACTCACTGAACACTCACTGAACACTCACTGTCCTCTGGTAAACAGATTTACAAATTCATTAATCCCTGTGTCAATAAAACTTTAAGACCTAACGAATCCAGTGGAGCCGAGCCATGGTAGTCTCTCAGGACGGGGCTAAATAACGCTCCAAAGTTAGGCTAAATTATGGCGAGGGAGAAACCTCTCATCTCAAGATATCTGAATGAAAACAGTTTCTATAGGAACCAACGACTCTCCTCTTTACAGATATGCCCACTCTATGCTGCTCCCATACAGCTTCTCTTCTTTCTGTGAGTTTTAATGAAGCTAATTTTTGTACTCATGTTTGAAAGTGTCTCTATGAAGTCAAGTTTAATGTGTGTGTTTAGGTGTGTTTGGAATCAAACTTTAAATCACTTCACAGAAACCCTAACCCCGACTGGAAGGTGGTGTAACTGCACAGTGACACAGACATGCATAGGCTCTGCAGAGAGTCAATGCACAACCATAAATTCTCCTTTACTTAACTACAGGACCCGTGCAGTGACGTCTTTCTGCCACAAGGTGGAGCTCCTTTATCTGATTGCAGATCAACAACATGAGGCTCCTTCGTCATGCAGAGCGATGGCGTCATATGTTAGACAGACAGAAATGCCGTCACAGTGAGACCAGAGTCGTCTAATCGGCTGTACTGAAGTGTGCTGTATGTGAACACGCCGTCTGACAGGACGGACTCACTGAACTTCACTCACCACGTTCCGTTCCTCATCACCTTCTCCTTCTCTGCCAGCGCCGCCGCCGCGTCATCCAGTCTCAGCTTCGTCACCTGACCACAGAGGGTCTGCAGCACGGGCAGCAGCTCGGGGCCCGAGCACATCACCTCGCCGGGCCCCTGCCCTTTCAGGAAGTGTGACATCATCTCAGCCAGCTGGGCGTGATTCACAGGGCCTCCATTCTCACTGCTCGCTAGAGACGGGAGACCACAACACAAACTGGTCAGCTGCTGAGATTTGGAATTTTCAAACGAATAAAAAGTTGTTAGTTACCAAATAAGCTGTGGTCAAACGACCTTTATGAGGCAGCAAAATGTCGGATGGCGACAGAGACAGATTGTTTTTACACCTCTTGAAACTCTTCTTCAGACCTGAGCTGCGTTTTAAATTCACAGTCTGATCAAGTATTTTCTGTGTACGAGACTGTGTACACTTCAAACTGGTTGGTCATGATAATCAGGCTGTTCCAGGCAGGAAGGCTGCGCTTTAATTCAGCCTCGCCATTCAGTATAAAACATAGAAACGCAGAGTGGGAGGAGCATTGTTGTTCTGCCTTTTAGCAGGCAGTGGAGGTAGTGGTGAGGCTAAATCAACGACTGTGTAAAATGACGAGGAACCACATACGCTGCTGTGTCAGAAAACACGCCTGTTTTGCTTCTGGAACAATTTCGGTTCAGTGCCAAAAAAAGCGGAGCCAGCATAAAATCAAATCTTCTTCACGTCAGCATTAAAAGAATCTGTTTGAAGGGAGCTACATTTTCTACATCTGACTGTGATTTTGAACAAAGCCAAATGTTTCATAGCTAATGTGAAGTCATTCTTCTGAGTCTTCACCTTGTGCGCTCATGTTTGACCTGAGACAGATCATGATCCTTACCTGTGTTCTTGGTGTTGACGGCAGACGGCGGCAGGTCCGGGGAGGAGACAGAGGAACTGTCTGACATCACTCCGTTCTGAGGCGGCGAAGCTTCACCTGCAGGCCTGATGGAGCCGACTGGAGGCTGAAGACACAGAGACGAGACTCCCTGAAGACTGAGTCCACATTTTACTGCATGCTAACATGCTAAAGACAGGACTGATGTTTGGAGACGTACAAAGGTAAATTACCTCAGAAAGATTTGTACTTGTAATGCAGTATCACTCTGTAGTATTTCTATCTCTATGATTCACCAATAACTCGAGTGTTAGTTTGATCACTTCCTGTCATCACTCAGCTGAACCAACACGGTGGTGAGGAGAGAGAGCCGACAGGCAGCGTTCGCTGCACAAACACATGTGGTTTGGATCAGAGCTCAAACTAGTTTCACTTCCCGGGAACTGAGATTCAGACAGGCGTTGGCACTGAGAAATGGCGCAGCAAGGATTTGAGCTGGACCTCCAAAAAATCTCTTGTTCCATCTGCCTGGATCTAGTGAAGAATCCTGTGACTCTTCCCTGTGGACACAGCTACTGCATCAACTGTATTCAAAGCTTCTGGGATGGAGAGGATGAGAAGAGAATCTACAGCTGCCCTCAGTGTAGGCAGAGCTTCACACCGAGGCCTGTCCTGATGAAAAGCACCATGTTAGCAGATTTAGTGGAGGCCCTGAAGAAGATGGGACTCCAAGCTGCTCCTGCTGATCACTGCTATGCTGGAGCTGAAGATGTGGCCTGTGATGTCTGCACTGGGAGGAAACTGAAAGCCTTCAAGTCCTGTCTGCAGTGTGTGGCCTCTTACTGTGAGAAACACCTCCAGCCTCATCGTGACTCGGCTACATTACAGAAACACAAGCTGGTGGAGCCCTCCAAGAAGCTGCAGGAGAACATCTGCTCTAGTCAAGATGAGGTGATGAAGATGTTCTGCCGCACTGATCAGCAGTGTATCTGTTATCTCTGCTCTGTGGAGGAACATAAAGGCCACGACACAGTGTCAGCTGCAGCAGAAAGGACTGAGAGGCAGAGAGAGCTGGAGGGGAGTCGACAAAACATCCAGCAGAGAATCCAGGACACAGAGAAAGATGTGAAGCTGCTCCAACAGGAGGTGGAGGCTATCAGTCGCTCTGCTGATAAAGCAGTGGAGCACAGTGAGAAGATCTTCCCTGAGCTGATCCGTCTCATGGAGAAAAGATGCTCTGATGTGAAGCAGCAGCTCAGATGGCAGCAGGAAACTGAAGTGCGTCGCGTCAAAGAGCTTCAGGAGAAGCTGGAACAGGAGATCACTGAGCTGAAGAGGAAAGACGCTGAGCTGGAGCAGCTCTCACACACAGAGGATCACAACCTGTTTCTACAGAGCTACCCCTCACTGTCAGCACTCAGTGAAGCCACACACTCATCCAGCATCAACATCATTCCTTGCCGCTACTTTGAGGACGTGACAGCGGCTGTGTCAGGAGTCAGAGATAAACTACAGGACGCTCTGAGGGAGACAAACGTCTCACTGACAGGGACTGAAGTGGATGTTTCACTGCCACAACCAGAGCCCAAGACCAGAGCTGAGTTTGTCAGATATTCACATCAAATCACTCTAGATCCAAACACAGCACACACACAGCTGTTACTATCTGAGGGGAACACAAAAGTGGCAGTAATGAGTCAACCACAGTCTTATTCTGATCACCCAGACAGATTCAGTGACTGGTGTCAGGTCCTGAGTAGAGAGAGTCTGACTGGACGTTGTTACTGGGAGGTGGAGTGGAGTGGGGAGGGAGTTTCTGTAGCAGTCGCATACAAGAATATCAGCAGAGCAGGGGGCTGGATTGAATGTGGATTTGGACGAAATGACAAATCTTGGGCGTTATACTGTTACAATGAGGGTTATGACTTTTTGTACAACAAAGTCCAAACTCCCGTCTCAGGTCCTCGGTCCTCCAGAGTAGGAGTGTACCTGGATCACAGTGCAGGTATTCTGTCCTTCTACAGCGTCTCTGAAACCATGACTCTCCTCCACCGAGTCCAGACCACATTCACTCAGCCTCTCTATGCTGGACTTCGGCCTCATGAAAAATCCACTGCTGAGCTGTGTAAACTCAAATAGTCAGAAGTCATTTCAGGGTTAAACTCTGTGTTTGATCTCCATGTTTGTTACAGAGAGATGATTGTTGTGGCGTGTCTCCTCTGCACACTGATCAGCTGTCAGTCAAGAATTCTGGGTGGTACTTTGAGTAGTTGTGTAAATGTTTGAGTGTCTTTAGATGGCGCTCCTTCCTGTGTGTGTTCTGCCATGGAGGCTGTCACTGCACATTTGTGCCTGTTTGCCTGAACTGATGTTTCTCTGCAGAATAATAACGGCGACTTCTGAGCTCTGAATGTCTGATCAATCTTTGTATCCATGTGTTTGTCTGTTGTTGTTTCTCTTCCTACTTTGACTTCAATAAAATGGTTACTTCTGATGGAGTGTATCACTGGAGCATTTCTACTTTTATTTTAATTTTTTACTTGTAGTAGTATCACACTGAAGTATTAATGGAGTATTACACTGTAGTATAGAGGAAATCTGTTAGGCTTGTGCTATAATAAAATGCCCTATGAGGTAAAGGGATCACATCAAAGAACAGCTCAGATAATACAGATACCGTGGAGTCTGCAGGCAGCGGCTGGTCTCTGAAGGCTGCTGAGGAGATGTTGGCTCCTTGAGCCAGAGCAGAGAAAACTCCACCGCCCATCAGGAGAGGCAGGAAGCCGCCCAGAGAGCTGGTCTGGTTCTAGAGAGAAACACAGTCCAGGGGTCAAGTTGATTTTCACTGTGAGCTGAAACTGAAACCACAATTTGCCCTGAAGGTGGGTAAGCATCTAAAACCTTACAGCACACTTTGGTAAACAAGGATCAGTTTAGTGAAGTACAAGCAAGCTCATGTGCTCAATCAGCATAGTCGTAATTCCCCTTCCCTGCCTGAAGAGGTCGTTAGAGGTTAAAGTAACTCACTGCTCCTTTACTCCCACCTTCTGCTGGAAGTGCACCATGTCCATGAGGTGCTGGGCTCCTGGAGAGAGGCTTGTTCCCATCTCCTCAACCAGACACTGCACCTGCTGCATATCAATGCCAGGACCGCGGGCTGCGCAGGGCGGCAGAGGCTGAAGGCCCACAATGACTCGACACACCAATACGCTGCTTCGACCGCCCAGGGAGAGCAGCTGGGACACAGAAACAGATGACTGAACTCAACACAGTCGTGAATACATATACAGAGTTCACCAACATTTATCAACTCTTTATAGATGTGAGGACTCTCAGTAGATGATACCACAGCTACTGCTCTGTGTGTTTGATCTCACTCTGAACACAACTCACCTTCACGTCACAGGCAGAGGACGGGTGCTCAAGGATCAGCTGTTTCTTGTAGAAAGGCCCTCTGTCTGAGCTTTGGGCAACAGAGACAGGAAACACAGCGTCAACATCGCCGCCCACAGCAGAACATTACTGAGCCTCAGACTCCAGCCTGCTTCTCCAAACTGGGGGCGTGCTGATGGACTTCTACTGTAAGTGTATTAAACTGTCTATGAATAAGTAATCCATACAACTCCACTTTGAAAAGCAAAATTTAAAGAAGAACATTTTCTCTGTAGGATTGTTTCCATAATGTTGTCAGACACTTAGAAAACCAATCTGAGCCTGTCAGAGACAACAACAAACTATTTTAATGAACGTAAATTGGACACAGGGAACACATTGCAGCCTGTTTCACTGCTGCTGGCTGCAGCACTCTCTCTCAGTACTGGACCATTTTCCAAAATTGTTGCCTCCATCGGTCACTTAGACACAACAACATGAGAAAATAAGGTCCCCTAAAGTGAGCTAAAAAAAACTGTAAAACATTCAACCCAGGTGATGCTAACTGTGTGTGTACCTGTCTGTCTGGACACTGTTGTCTCTCTTCCCGCGGACTGTCCCACAGTATTCTCCCGTCTGGCTGTACACCTCCATGGTTCGGGCCTCGCTGGTGACCAGCAGGCGGCTGATGGCAGCAGGTGAGCAGGAGCTGCAGTGGAGCGTCAAGACACAAGGAGACCCTTCTTCCGTCTGCTCCAACAGCACTGGGCCGCCCCTGTGAGGGGAAGATAAGTGTTAAAGATGCGGTTATCACTCAGCTACGTAGGGCTGCAACTAACAATCATGTTTGAGAAAATATAGTATAGAAAAATAGTTGCAGATTAATTTTCTTTCGATCAAACAATCAAGTGATTCATCGTTGCAGCTCTACATCTATCCCCCTTCAGTTTGAACAAACAGTGGTGAGGTCTGGTTGCTCACATTATACAAAAGTTAACGAGCAATTCTGTGTCAGCCTTTTACAAAACCATTAAAAAAAAGGGAATCCAAACACATCAAGCCAAAAACAATCCTTATTTTCACAGCAGGATTCAACACAAGTGTTCACAAACATTAATCCACATTTGAACAGGTGCGCACTTTAGCTGCTCACCTGTTTGTCTCGTCTCCCTCTGACTGACCGAGCTCCTCATCGTGATCGTCTTTGTTACTGACGTCAACAGGAAGCAGGACATCAGCCAACTGTCCCTCATCGGGACACACCCACGCAGCTCCGCTCTTCACGGCAATGTCCACCATGATGCTGCCAGGGGCCACAGGGACTGGAACCTACCTTGGAGACAAGCTGGGGCACAAAGTAGGAAACAACTTAGGAGGCAACAGTACATGAGAATAAACTAGGAGACAGGTTAGGGCAGAAGTAGAAGCTCTGAAATAAGGCTGAAGGTGACAGACACAGTCACTCCCATCTGGCAGGAGGCTGCAGTCGATCAGGACCAGTGTTTTCCTGCCTGGGACGCCCACTGACACAGACTCCAATATATATTAAAACATGGATCTTTTAAAATATATTTTAAAAGATCAAAATCTTGGTTATTAAACCTTGTAATGAGCCAACCTCCCAGCAATTGTCTTTCTTCTTGATATCATACATGATGGTTGTCAGAGGTAAGATGTAAGTTGACAAAAAGTTATATATTTATTAATTTTACAGCAGTCTCAGTGAGGATTTTATTTTGTCAGAGTTCTTTTAATGCTGATTAAAAGACTAATTTTTAACCATAATTCTTATTCAGTTTGGAGTTGACCTGTTATGTTTGAAGTAGCACTATTATCTAATTAATATATCATAAAATAAAAAGCGTACCAGGACGTGAGCAGCATTCACACCTTTTAGGAAACCAGGAAGTGAGGCAGTCCTTGTGACACAGTTAACTCCGTTTATACCTTGTTAAATGATGTTTTCGAACAAATGTGACGGCGCTGCAAAAATCTAGGACACATCTTTAACATTTTTATCAAGAGGACTTTTTTACACACATTATCAGTGCATACTTTTTTAGATTTTGAAGGCTTTTAACATAGTTTTTAATAGTTTGAAGTTGAGGCTGTTTTTTGACACAGTTTATAGTTTAGTTTATAAGTTAAAAAAATTGATGCAGATCAAAATAGTTTATAAATCATATTTATTTCATACATGTAAATCCTTTCGAAATAATGAAACAGAATTAGTGTGTTGATAAGTTGTAATTTTAAAGGTTTTTTGGTCAATATTTTACAATGTCCAGCACAAAACAGTTCAGGTCTTTCATTTTAAAACAGACATATTTTACATATTTTCACACATTGGCTTCTTATTCTATTTTTCCTATTCAATATTTATGCTTCTTGAGTTTTGAAGCTTTTATATTTGTTTATTCATTTGTCTATTTGTACCTTGTTTATTGTTATGCATCGAGGCAAATCCCTTGTATGTGAAAACTTGGTCATAAATCTGATTCTGATTCAGAAGATAAGTTAGGAGATGATTTAGGGAACAAATCAGGACTGTCTGCAGTCAAGTCTGGATTTCTTTTCACGAATAAATAAAAAAAAATCCGTCACATTACAATAATATCTGATATGACACAGAGGGTTATCTTCACACTATGTACAAGATTCATTTTTCTTTCCCTGCTCTTCCTCCAATTTGATTTCAGTTACAAGATGAACCATTTGACAGCTATGATTCTTTGACAAGCATCTATTTTGATTTATAAAATGATAATTATCGGCATGATCGATTATATTTCACGTTAGATGTAAATCTTTGCTCCAACAGCAGTGAGGTTAACTCTAAATACATCATATAGCTTTGCTAATATCGAGCTACTTTTACCTTTTTACCTTCAATTCCTCCGCTGAAACTGCAGATTAGCTCGTTTTCCTCCAGTTTGTCAACTTTCGTCTTCGCATTTCTTCAGACTTCTTTAAAAAAAATCCGGATGAACTCGATTTTAAGATAAAACTGATGATAAAACGGTGAATTTTCCACTTCAAGCTAACGCTAAACTCTCTGCATCAGCACGCGACGGGATGTTGTGGTGTGACGTCATTAAACAGCGACCACTGATATGTCAATCCAGGAACTACTTTGGTAAATAAACACTTTTTTATTTCAAGTTGTTAGGAAATATAACTCTACGAGCTGTCTTAGTAGGAATGTGACGTTATTAAGCGTTGTGTTAAAGCTCATGATATGTTTACACTGCCGTGAATGGTGAGTGAAAAGCTACATCTTGATTCGTGAACGTTAGCATCGTAGCTAACTAAGCTAACAGCGTTAGCTTTGAGGCTAAAGTTTGAGGTTAAAGTACTAATATTACACTGTTAAAATATTGCACTACAAGTTCTGCATTTAGAAGTGCGTTTTACAGATGTAAAACAAGTATTAGCAAACATGTGTAAAGTACTTTAAGTATTAAAGTAAAGTTATGTAAACTGATCGATGCTGACAGTCTTTTTCCTTTTCTATCTGATGTTTGTGAATTAATATGACTCCAATTACAAAACAGTAAGGACTCTGTGTAAAATGTAAATAAACAGGCTTCCCAGGGTGCTGGAAAACCTTCACAATCTCATTTCCCAGGCCTGGAAAAGTCATGAAATTAATTAATTTTGATGAAAGACAGGCCATGGAATTGTGTTGTGTGTAATGAAATTGTTATAGTAATCTTTTAGTGGAACTTCTTTGGGCTGTTCCCTTCCGGGTCGCCAGAGCTAATCATCAGCCTCCATCTAACCCTGTCCTCTGCATCCTCTTCTCTCACACCAACTGACTCCATGTTCTCTTTCACTACATCCATGAATCTCCTCTTTGGTCCTCCTCTAGGCCTCTTGCCTGGCAGTTCCAGCCTCAGCATCCTTCTACTGATATAGTCACTATCCCTCCTCTGAACATGTCCAAACCATCTCAGTCTGACCTCTCTGACTTTATCTCCGAAACATCTAACATGAGCTGTCCCTCTGATGTACTCATCCCTGATCCTATCAAAACAACCTGTCTTCAGCTTTGTGACGACGACTTTTCAACCTGATCCAGACGAGTTTATTTAGCAACACGTAAAGGAATACTTCATTCTTCAGTTTGTCACAAACATTCAACATCAACACATCTGGAGATATGTGCTTTTCACTGGACAGGAAGTAACTAAAGCTGCCAGATGGATGTAGTGCAGCAAAAAGTACAGTATTTTCCTCTGAGATAGAACAGGAGAAAATTACATTAAAACAGAAATACTCAAGTAAAGTACAAGTACCTCAAATTTGTACTGAAGCACAGTACTTGAGTAAATGTACTTATTTACATCCCTCCCTGCATTTGGACTTTCTGTTGATCTTACAATACCCGAGCTAACTTGTAAACAAATAATGGCTCTAACTCTTTTTAAAGCAGGGGATGGACTTCACAGAGTGCTACAGAGACACCGTCTCCAGCGTCGCCGCCACAGCTCGCTCGGGCTGTAGGAAGCGGGTGAGGAGGCTGATAAAGAGAGGTTTCAGCGTGGACTGTCGAGACAACCGTGGCTGGAACGCCCTGCACGAGGCGGCAGCCACTGGCAGCAAAGAGTGTGTGCAGGACATTTTGTCTGCTGCAGGAGGTAAGAAAGGGTTGTTGTTCTCACATGTTAGAAGCTGGACACAGAATAATTGTTTAGTTTTCTGGATAAAGAATTAATTTTCTGCTCATGAACTATCTGTGAATGGACTCAGTATTTTTGGCACTAACTTGGACCAACAGGTCAAAACTTCAAAATATTCAATTTACAGTTGTATAGACAGAGAAAAGCTAAAAATTCTCACATTTAAAAGAGACTTTATTGTCATCCGTCTGTGTACAGTGCAGTACAGAAAGAAGCGAAATTGTGTTTCGCTGGTCGTCATATAATAAGGTGCAAACAAGAAGATACAGGTACAAACAAGGCACAAACATGTAGGGCAACAGTAGAAAAATATCATTTTAATTAGAGCTGCAATGATTAATCTGTTAGTTGTCTACTAGTTTGATTATCGAATAATCTTTTGAGTAATATTTTAAGGGGGAAAAAAGTCAAAATTCTCTAATTGAGCTTCTCAGATGTGAATATTTTCTGGTTTCTTTCCTCCTCTGTAACAGTAAACTGAATATCTTTGGTTTGGGGACAAAACAAGATGTTTAAGGATATCATCTCAGGCTTTGGAAAACACTGACGACATTTTTTACCATTTTCTGACATTTTATTGACTGAACCGAATAGATTAATCACGAAATTTAACCACAGATTGATCAACAATGAAAGTAGTTGTTAGTTGCAGTTAAATGTCCACATAAATATGGTGGAACCAGAGAATGTTTTGCAGTTTTTCTTGATTAAATACTTTATTTTTATCAAAATTGCTGATGAATTTCCTGATTATCGACAAATTGAATCAGTCAACCCCATCAGCACAAGTTTATCAGCTTTTATTGAGAGTCAAATACTTAAGTGAGAAACAACTGATGTTTTTCTGTTTGCGACAGTGCGAGCGGGCTCCTCCCGGGGCTGCAGTGCCTATGTGAACTCTTTGACACATGAGGGGGAATCTGCATGTTACCTGGCGGCGCAGCGTGGACACCTGGCCGTGGTCCGACTCCTTTTGAAAGCCGACGCCAATATCAACCAGCTGACGAATGACTTGTCCTGTCCTCTGTACGCAGGTACAACACCTGCGCATGTTTTCACTCCTGTATTCACCTCTCTTTAAAGTAAAATAGGATGTGATTGGATGAATTCTGTCTGCAGTATTGATCAGCTGTTCTCTGTTTTCTGACAGCTGTAGACGGCGGGTACACGGAGGTTGTAGAGCTGCTGGTCAGTAAAGGTGCCGAGGTCAATAGAACACACACGGCGTCCTGCTGGACCTGCCTTCACCAGGCTGTTTATAAGGTGATAATGGGACTCGAAACACACACACACACACAAACTCTGGTCTTTCCCAACTTGTTATACGCCTCTGTGCTGGTGACAGCCATCTTTTTGAACATGATATCTCAAGAATGCCTCAAGGGAATTTCTTCAAATTTGGCACAAATGTTCACCTGGACTCGATAATGAAATGATAGGATTTTGGTGGACAAGGGTCAAAGATCAAGGTCGCTGTGACCTTGTGAACATGATATCTCAAGTGCACCATGAGAGAATTACTTTAAATTTGGCACAAACGTTCACTTGGGCTGAAGATTAAACTGATTAGAATTTTGTGGTTGAAGGTCAAAGGTCATGGTCAGTGTGACTGATAACTATAACTCAAGAATTCATACACTAATTATGACAAAACTTGACACAAATGTCTAACAGGGTAAAATAATGAAGGCCAAAAGGTCAAAGGTCAGCTTGACTGTGACATCATCATGTTTTAACGTCATATCTCAGGAACAGAAGGGGAGACATTTGGTCAGATACTGAATTGGTGACTCTAATCTTGAAACTGTGCTGATTGTATAGATCTTCTGTGTGTGAAGCATCCATGTTTTCACTGACATGGATGGAGACTGTCAGAGACACTGGACTGGTGGGCGGAGTCATACAACCGCGGGGTGGTAATTCTACTTTTATTTTTATATCCTAGGGTCACAGTGAAATCGTGCACATACTGGTCAGTGTGTGCAACCTGGAGGCACTAGATGACCACAAGATCTCTCCTCTCTTTGTGGCTGCTCAGTACGGACAGCAGGAATGCCTGGAAATCCTTGTTAATGCTGGTAAACTGCTGTTTTTCTTTATTCCTTTATGTGCATTTGTTCAGAGCTCTAAGTAAAACTTTGTTGAGATTTAATGCTGGTCAGCAGCTTAGCGCTCTCCTTTTGTGTCCCAGCTGCTCTCTCTGCCCCTTCTTTTCCCTCCTCTCTGAAACCTTAAAATAAAACACAATGAACTGTGTTTTGTCACTGTAGGAGCGAATGTGAACACCCAGGCAGCTGATCTGGCCACACCGCTGCTGATCGCCTCTCAGGAGGGTCACCAGGCGTGTGCGGACTTCCTGTTGGACCACGGAGCAGAGCCGGACACAGCCTGCAGTAACGACTGGCCCCAGCTTCCCATTCATGCTGCTGCTGAGTTTGGCCACATCGGGTACCGACTCTTAACTTGTCTTTAAATCACGTATTGTTGGGCAGCGACTCCCAATGTTTTTATGGGGTTCCCACGGTCATGAAATTCCTGGAAAAGTTATGAAATGAGAAACTGTTTTCCAGGCCTGGAAAAGGTTTGGAATAAGTCCAAGACTAACATTTTTGTCACGTCTCATCACCAAAAATGAAACATAGATTTCTTCGTAGTTTTTCTTATCAAGATCAATTTTTTGCTCGTCATCGTCTCGTTTCTGTCATAGAAACAATGTCTTGACCAAATTAACACTGTACTACAGACGTTCCTGTTATCTTACATCTTAGTGTCTGCTGTGACAGCTGATGCTGTACATGTTACTCTACCATCCAGAGGAGGCACTGTGCTTTTTCCCTGATAATGACTTTGTGATAAAGTGATTCTTGGTGTTTCAGGTGAATTTCACAGGATGCTTTTAACCCTCGGGTATTTTGTGAATCCAGGATCCTGAGGAGGCTGATAGCTGTCACGGATCGTGTGTGTGACCGCGGTGATGGCATGGTGAGTCCGCTGTACGTGGCCGTCCACAGCCATCAGAGCCAGAGTGTGGAGACGCTCCTGAGGGAAGGTTACAGCCCAGATGCCCAGGACTGCACGCACATCCTGGGCATCCGTTCACCACTCTCCTTCGCCTTGTGTTGCACGTCCAATAAACCACACAGGTGTGTTAGAAAGCACGTTTGACCTCTCACACACGCAGTGGATTTGTTCTTGATTTGGGTTAAAATCTCTTTCAGTGAGTCAGTGAGGTTGCTGGTAGCTTCAGGAGCAACTCTGAGCGAGGAGGACTGGATTTATGCCTTGGCCACCGACAAAACAGAGCTGCTGAAACTGATACTTGAGCACAGATGGATCCCTCGACCGGAGACTTTGACTGACAGAGACTGTTCTGCACCACATCATCATGGGAGAACGCTAACGCTGCAGGAACTGAGGGAGCTGCTCTGTGTGGCACTAAACCAAGTGCACTTTGCAGCCTGCTGGCTTCCTCTGCTTCTGAAGGCAGGACTGGAACCGTCTCTGCTGCTTCAGCCCCACATGTAAGTCTCACTTTTTGGTCGAGTATCCGATGGCTCTAAACACGATACATCACTTTCTGTCCTCAATGCTTTCTAGGTTGGAGCAGGCGGACAGTGAGGTGTTGAATTACCTGCTGGAGTTTGTAAACTGGTCGACTGTGTCTCCTCCTCTGAAACATATCCTGGATCGAAGGCGGGCGGAGAAGACCTGGGAACCATGTTTTGGTACACTGACAAAACACACGCTGCAGATTTGCTTTCAGTAATCTGTAGTAAACTTCGAGTGCTGATGTTTTTTTTCTCTTCCTCCCTCTAGACTCCATTCCCTGTCTTTCCCACATGTGTCGGCTGCAGGTTCGGTCAGTGCTCGGACCAGATCTGCTGATGAGGAGCGATGTAGTCCAGCAGCTCCCTGTGCCCTCCCCACTCCACCACTTCCTCCAGTTCAGAGACATCCCAGAAGCTTCCTACACACACTCACCGCCGTCACCACTTTCAAATCGACTACAGGGATACCGCAGCACACACCAGCACAGACATGTTCTATAACTCCAGCCAGGCTTCCTCTTCATGTTGCTTTGAGGTTGTTTAATTCCTCGTCTTTCGTCCTCTGTCAGTTTGTCACAGCTCCAAGAAACCCAAGAATCCAAGTGTCTTTTGTGGCTGCACTGTCTCAGCAAATGGAAATATTTTGAATGTTTTGTGCATCATTTTACACACATTCCCTCAAAATTCAGCAGATTTGGTTGCTTTGGTGACGTTAGGAGAAGAAGACATTCTGTTGGTTTTTACAAAGTTTGACTACACAGGTGAGCCAGAGAGGTCTAAAAAGAGAACTCTAGTTTGGTTAAAGGTCCAGGGTGTCGGATTAAGAGGGGAGTCTATTGACTGAAAATGAATATAATCTGATAAGTCTGTTTTCTTTAGTGTATAGTCACCTGAAAATAAGAATCGTCGTGTTTTTGTTACCTTAAAACAAAATGTTTATGTCTACATAGGGAGCAGGTCCTCATCTAACACTGATTATTAAACATGAAACTGCTTTATTTACTGTTTTTACTGGTTTTAATCAGCTGGTTTGTTTTGGAGAGATGACTTAATCTCGCAGCTCTTCTTTACTTTTCCAAATGTTATGGGACCAAATGGATCAAATCCTGACATTGAAATGAGTCATCTCTCGGGGGTTGTGACACTGATTTACAGATGTCTCATTCCCAATGTAAGTCTATGGGAAAAAGTCTTTTTGGGCCACAGGTTATCACGTAAAGAAAATTGGCTTCAAAGCCTGACACACTTCTGGGGCCTGGTCGAAGGTTTCCTATCAGAAAGGTGAAGATTTGGAAAGAAGTTGTGGTTTGGATTAAAATGAATAGATTTCTGTCAGAAAGGGCTTTCTTAGAAAAAGCCTACAAGGAAAATTCCTCCATGGGCAGACTACTCCTCTTCCACAGAGACCGCCATATTGTTTCTACAGTAGCCTGGAAAGGACAAACCAACCACTCTAGAGAGAGACATTGGAGTTGTCATGTTGGCCCCTGTAGTTCTCCTACATGCTTGACACACACACACAAAGTTTCAGTAATTTACAGTCTACTTCCTCACCACTAGATGCCACTAAATTCTACATACTGGACCTTTAACAGGAGCTTAGAAGATGACTTTATAATCAGAGCTGCGTCAGTTATTTGTGGAGATAGATTTGTTTCAATTATGATCAATAATCCGTGTGTAAATGTGCAGTCTATAAATACAAAACAGCTTTCACAAATACAGAAAAAGATTAGTAAACTCTCAGAAATATTTTGCAAATATAAAACAGATTTCCAAGTACACAAAATCCACACGGGTATAATTTAGAGTTACAAAAAAAACCACTAAACTACATTTACAAATACCTGTTCAAAAGTTTTGAATGTCAGGATGATGGTCACAATTGATTTTCATTTATTTTTTAATTGATTTAATGTATGCACAGATTTTTTTATTTGTGGAATTTGTGTATTGCAGATCTGTTTTAAATTTGCAAAATAGTTTTGGGAGTTGACAATTTTTTTTATATTTGTGGAAGGTATTTTATATTTACAGATTGCACATGACACAGTGTAGATGTGCTCACACAAATAATAATGAGACAAATCTATCTCCATAATTAGTCGATTAATCGATTTAGCCGATCGACAGAAACTTCATTGGCAATTGTTTTGATAGTGGGATAAGGCTTTTAGTGATTTTTACACAGAAAAGGCCAAAAAAATTGCAGGTTTCATGTCTGTTTGATTGCACAATTAAAGCTTTTCTTCATCACACATTATAAGAAAGTGAACAAAAATGACTTCACTCATTTGCATATTGTAACACACACACGCGTTTCTATGGACCAGCAGCAGTTATGGTTTAATTTATTTGAATTTATTTATTTATTTTCTCCTGTAAACGAGAGTTTTTTGTTCAGTTTTTGTATTGATAAGCACCATTGGTGCATATGACAATAAAAAACATTTGGTCAAACTCTGATTGGTGCAGAGAGCTGTCAATCATACGTACACCGGCTCTGATTGGTGGACGTCATGTCTATTTGACAGGAGGAAGTAGCGACGTTAGAAACAAGCAGCTCGCTTTTTCAAGGGACTAACTGGACAGAAAACACCACTTGTGATGTAAGGCCGCTGTTCCACACGCTGAGGAAAGATATGCCTTAATGTATTTCATACGTGAGTATGTGACATGTTTGCTTTTATCTGCGCCTTTGTTTGTTGTTCCGGTCGTTGTCGGCTGTGTTGCTGCAGCCTGCTAGCTTGATTCAGCTCAGGTGAAAAGCTAACACACACAAACGGCTCATTTCTGGCGGTTTGTTTTGCGCACTGCCTCGCGTGCACTTCGTCTAATTTCCAGCCATCATGGGAACAATTTAAATCATTAGCATGCTGTAATTTCACCCCTGACATCAAACCACAGAGCAGGTTAGCGTCAGCTCACAGGCTAACGTTAGCTAGCTGTTAATGGTAACTAGCTAAACGCTGCTCGGACAGGTGCGCCAGGTGTCCGCTGCGGCTCGCGTTGCTTTCAGGACACTTCACGAGCATTGTGATGTTGTCAGTTGTCAACACGGCGTCAGCTCGGTGTGAAGCAGCGGGTGAGTCAGTGGGAGAAGCTCCAGCTGGCTGTAACGTTAGCTGAGGTAGTTTTAAAGCTAATGTTTCATCCAGTGGATCTTTATTCTGCATGCATGCAAGACCAGTTTATTTCTATGGCACATTATTCAGCAACAAAGCAATTCACATAAAAGCGATGCAAAGGAAAAACATTGTAAAAGGATATTTAAAGCATTTCAGCAAAGGACAAGAGCACAGAAAATAAAAGGTGAAAACACACTGAGACAGGTATAAAATACAAGAATAAAAGTTAAAGGTACTGAGTAATAAAAATACAGAAAAATAAAATAGGGATGCACGATATTAGATATTTTGCAGATATCTGATATGCCGATATGTACCAACTCATTTAACTGATAACGATATATCCACTGCTTTCCCCACCTAATTTCAATTCAATTCAATTCAATTCAATTTATAAAGCCCAATATCACAAATCACAATTTGCCTCACAGGGCTTTACAGCATACGACATCCCTCTGTCCTTATGACCCTCGCAGCGGATAAGGAAAAACTCCCCAAAAAAAACCCTTTAACAGAGAGGGAAAAAACAGTAGAAACCTCAGGAAGAGCAACTGAGGAGGGATCCCTCTTCCAGGACGGACAGACGTGCAATAGATGTCGTTCAGAACAGATCAGCATAATAAATTAACAGTAATCCGCATGACACAATGAGACAGAGAGAGAGACAGAGAGACAGAGAGAGAGAGACAGAGAGACAGAGAGACAGAGAGAGATGCAGGTAATGACAGTAGCTTACAACAACATTATTGGAAGTAATAATATTATAGTTATAGTTCTGGCTACTGTGGTACAATATGTTGAAAGTATGTATTAATATCTGGCAGTATACATGTGTGACAATAGTCATATGTGTATAATAACAGTAGAAGTATGACTAATGACTAATGATGGCAGCAGCAGCAGGAGGCATCTGGCAGGACCACGGCAGCAGCACAACCACACACGTCACGCTGTCCAGGCACCGCTGTGATATGAGTTATTCTGAGAGACAGTGGAGCACAAAGGCTCCGGAGAAGAAGCCGAGTTAGTGACATCCAGAATGGCCGAGTTAGCAAGATGCAGTAATAGAATACGAGAGAGAGAAGGAGAGAGAGGGAGCCCGGTGTATTATAGGGGGTCCTCCGGCAGACTAGGCCTAAGTCAGCCTAACTAGGGGCTGGTACAGGGCAAGCCTGAGCCAGCCCTAACTATAAGCTTTATCAAAGAGGAAAGTCTTAAGTCTAGTCTTAAATGTGGAGACGGTGTCTGCCTCCCGGACCGTAACAGGAAGATGATTCAACAGGAGAGGAGCCTGATAGCTGAAGGCTCTGGCTCCTGATCTACTTTTGGAGACTTTAGGGACCACGAGTAACCCTGCGTTCTCAGAGCGCAGTGTTCTGGTGGGATGATATGGCACTATGAGCTCTCTAAGATATGATGAAGCTTGACCATTTAGAGCTTTATAAGTTAACAGTAGGATTTTAAATTCAATTCTGGATTTTACAGGGAGCCAGTGCAGAGAAGCTAAAACAGGAGAAATATGATCTCGTTTCTTAGTTCCTGTTAGTACACGTGCTGCTGCATTCTGAATTAGCTGGAGAGTTTTTAAGGACTTACTAGAGCTACCTGATAATAGAGAGTTACAGTAATCCAGCCTTGAGGTAACAAAAGCGTGGACCAGTTTTTCTGCATCTTTTCGGGTCAGGATAGGCCTAATTTGTGACATCATATTGTGCATGCATACTCATATGGTGATGGCACACCAGCAGATGGAAACATTTAATACTTATCAATGTATGTAGCAAATGTTTGGCATCTTCTGCATTCGATGATCAAATAGTTGCTGATTAATTCCTGTTGATTGACTCATTGACTAACTGTGGCAGCTCTACACCTGTGCTGTAAGAAAATCTGTTGGATCTTTGTTTGTCTTTGCTGTTTACATTACAAAGATCATTGACTAATATCCATGTGTAATTAATCATTACATTACTGGAGAAAAATCCATCAAAGCGACGGTGAAAGTGTTTGAACTTGTTTTTTGTTCCATGAATTAGAGCTCTGCAGGAACACACTGTGTCGGGGCTGCGACTAACCATTGTTTTTATTATCAATTTATCTGCCCGTTATTTTCTCAATGAAATGATTGTCTACTAAGGCTGCACAATTAATGAAATATTATTGAAAGGCTAAGTGCGCAGGAGCTTCCCTTGTTTGAGAAAGGTAAAATGTGTCTCAGCATGCCATAAATGAAGCATTGTGTCTGCAGATCATATTCCAGATGTAAGGGAACATACTTGTTCGGGACAGACCCCAGCAAAAATCACCACATCATCATTTTTTAATATTTTTCATTGCTATCACCATTCCCGCTAGAATCACGATTCATATCACCATAGGTATCAAAATAATAGCAGTGTGCAGCAGCCCTGTTGTCTATGAAATATAAGACCCTGAAAAATGTCTGTTAAAATGTCTCACAGCTCAAATTTATAGATTTAAATTGCTCGCTAAATTCAGGTATTCGAGAAACCAAGCTCTCTGAAACACTGAATAAATATGAAGCAGATTTGTTGAAAATGATCTCAGAGCATTTCATACAGAAAGAAATGGTGATATTTGTTGGTTAAACCCGTTGTTATTCTGTTCACTGAAGTCTGCGTTTTAAAAAACAGGTCACGTAAACTTCTTTTTTCCCTCTAACTTGCAGGTGAGGCCAGCATTAGGGAGACGAGTTCTCTTCCGTACGTCATCCAGATGAGGCATGCTAGAAGTATGCAGCCCATGTACAGAAGAAATGCTGGAGTCTGGCACCAAACAAGAAGTCTCCTCTACAAGAATCTGCTCATCAAATGGAGGACCAAGCAACAGAGTCTCCAGGTGCTCAGTTTTCAGCTGACTGATATCAATCTGTTTGTCCTGCTGTGTTCACTTTTATCCACCTCACGCCAGTCGCTGTGTTGCTGTGTTGCTGTGTGTGACATTCATATCCCACAAATTTACCATGGAGCAAAGTCAATATTCAGTTTGAACTGTGGAGCAAAAACATTAGAGTTTTTTCTGATACCATTTATTCCTTGTGACTTCCAATCTGATGCCACTGCATTTAACAAACAGAACAGCTGTATACGTCTAACCAGAGGTGGGAGTTGAGTCGAGTCATTGGTCAGGTAAGGCAAGTCACAGCTCAAGTCATACTCACAAACTCATGAAGATAATACAACATAAACTGCACTTAGTGGTGGGATGTAACTAAACATGTGTCCTCAGATACCATGAGTCCTTTCTTCTCCTGCCGTCTACCTCGACTCCACTACATTTACAGCTTAGAAAATAAATTTGCCACTATTTTGATCATCATCTTTATCGTTTTGTAATGCAAAACATTTCATGGTTCCAGCTTCACACTTGTGAGGATTTTTTTGCAGCTTTTTCTTATTGTTAATTGATAATTTTTATGTTGAGGTTTGAGCTGTTGGTTGGACAAAATAACATGATGAAGGCATCACTTTGGGCTCTGGGTCAGTGTGACGCTACCTCTCACTATTTCCACAATTTCAACAAACCAGTCAGTTTATGAAGAAAATAATTGGCGGATTAACCCATAATGAAAATAATTATTAGTCAGTAGTTCAAAATGAGCTCCACCTCAACCAACTACAGCAGTAAGATCCTGCTGCTCCCAAAGATATGTGTCCAATAAACACTTTAATTCATATTCAGTTTCTAGGAGACGCACTGTGAATAAGGAGCAGTCTGATTTTGATGCAAAGACTTGTACATCAGCAGGAATGTAGCACCACATGGAAGTGAAAGCAGTGCTCTGTTTATTTACAAATGAAAGTGCAATAAAAATATTTTTTCCCTTAAATCGTTACATAATTATAAATAAAAATCCTGACAGTCGTTTTGGCCATAACCTTGCAGCCAGACCCTACTGACAACAACAGTAATTTTACCTCACACAACGTGAGAGCTGCTGGTGCACCGCTGCCTCCATCAATAAAAATAATAATGATAATAATCATGCATTTTATTTAAAGGTGCTTTTCAAGGCACTCAAGGACACCTTATAATCACAGTTTAGAAACAAGCAATAAAAAAAATAACAGCAACAACAGGCAAGACAAAATAAAAACCAGGAGACAAAATAGATATCAAGGATGAATCAGATGGCCTATGCCAGTTTAAAAAGATGTGTTTTAAGATGGGATTTGAAGGTGGAGAGAGAGTCAATATTGCGGATATCTTGTGGGAGAGCGTTCCAAAGTCGGGGGACGGAGCAGCTGAAGGCTCTAGCTCCCATGGTGGACAAGCGAGCAGATGGTGTGGCGAGTTGGATAGCGGAAGAGGATCTTAGAGTACGGGAAGGAGTGTGGATATGAAAGAGTTCAGAAAGATACAGTGGGGCTAGGCTATGAAGGGCCTTAAAGGTGAGCAGCAAAATCTTGAAGTCGATACGGTGTTTGACAGGGAGCCAGTGAAGTTGTTGGAACAGGAGTGATGTGCTCTATGGAGGGAGTTCAAGTGATAATGAGTTTGAGAAGGTTGTGTGAAAACCGAGATTTAACGGGCGGGAGAGTGGAAGTTGGCTTGGTGGAAAGATAGAGCTGGGTGTCATCTACGTAGCAATGGAACTGAATGCCAAATTTCCTGAAAATCAGACCGAGAGGTAACCGATAGCTAATGAATAGTAGAGGGCCCAAGACAGAGCCTTGGGGAACACCGCTTGTGACAGGAGAAGAGTTAGTTCAGTTAGTTTGTGTTACTGTGTGACTTTGGTGTTTTAAAGGGTTCGTTCAGCAGCAGCTTCCGTGTTAAGCGGGGTTAAATTACTGTTTTTGTCAGTGGAGTGTGGCTCTGCAGAGAGCGACATAACGGCTTCAGTTCACCGTCAGAAATAGCTGTCTGACAGTGGTGAAAATATTCTAAAAACAGCGTCCACGAAGACTGATATTGATTTTTTTTTTTTTTTTTTTTTTTTTTTTTTTTTTTTTTTTTTTTTTTTTTGAGGTGGCAGAAAAACCCAGAGGGGAGACTTTCTACACATACTTTCAGTAAAAAATAGTTTCATGTTTTAAATACAACAATAAAACATATGATTAATCAAACATAATGCTTCCATTTGAATTCCTTTAAGGTCATTCTGACATAATAATTATAATTCTGTAATACTGTGAAACTGTGATATGTACTGAGACAGTTATCGTATGGGGAAGATTTTATACTGTTGTACCCATTTTTTGGGGAGTGCACTGTGAATAAGGACCAGTGTAGGTGAGGTGAAATTACTGTTTTTGTCAAAGGAGTGTGGCTCTGCAGAGAGCGACATAATGGCTTCAGTTCACCGTCAGAAATAGCTGTCTGACAGAAAGGTAAAGCGGTGTAAATACAGTGTTCATGAAGAATGTTGATTTTGTCAGGTGTCTAAAATCCATTTTGTTGCTGACTCTGTCTGCAGCAGTACATTAATTGGCTTCTGTGTCCGTACTCCACTCTGTTTCTCCAAACTGGGGGCGTACTGACTCACATCTACTGTAGCTAATACACTGACTATGGAGAAAGACCTCATACAACCTCATTTAAAAATATCTCAACTGTCGCCTTAAGCTCAGGATAACCATTTATCCCGAGTTATTGCTTCGCTTGAGTTCATGCTTCTGTGCAGTGTTGTGTCTCTAATGTTTGGAGGACAAAGTGTTTTCTGAAACAGCACTGAGATAATCTCAGGTGAACCGAATCTCCTGACAGTTTCCCCAGAGGAACTGTGTCCTCTGTGTGGCTTCTCTCTCATCAGCTGTTCCTTTTATGTGTCTGTGTTTGCAGGAGCTGATCCTACCTCTGCTCCTGTTGGGTCTCCTGATTCTCATCAGCACCCTCAATCCTCACGTCTATTATGGAGGCATCAGCACCATGGAGCTGGAGCGTGACGACCACTTCTTCAAGGGCCTGGGCTACACGCCCATCACCAACATCACCAACCACATCATGGAGGAGGTGGCCCAGGAGATGCGTAAGTCACACCTACAGGACAGGACTCTGCTGTTCTTCATAACTGATGTGTGTCAAACAGGACAGTGGCTCAGGAAAGGAAATGAGAAGGTAACAGAACACCAGGTATTTTTGGTTCATGACCTTCTTATTCTCCTGCTCGTGTTTTCAGACCTGCAGGATCGCCTGGAGATGTTTGCCAGTGAGGAGGACCTGGAGAACGCCAGCCTGTACGAGCCCTCCAGCTACGTCGGTGTTGTGTTCATGGACAGCTTGGCCACGTCTTACAGGCTGCGCTTCCCGTACAACCAGCTGCCCTTACCCAGCGACTACACAGAATCCATCGGTACATTTTTTATTTTACCTCCTTCATATATACATAAAATATGTCTTAACTATTTGTAGATTTTATTTTTAAAAAAAGGATTAAGTTTCTTGTTTCAGGTGATCAGAATGTTGAGAATTGGGTTTTAGATTTTGGATTCTTTTCTGCATCGTCACATAACCTTTTAAGAGAAGACAGTGCTGCATCTGAGATCTGCACAGACCTGATGCTGTTGTCATTGTGTTTGTTCTCCTCCAGCCAACTGTTTCACCAGCTCGGTGAACTGCAGAGCAGCTAATTACTGGTACTCTGGCTTCATCCGCCTCCAGTCTCTGATCGATGCAGCCATCATTCAGGTGAGACGGGCCAGAGATCAGGACGGTGTTCTCCAGTGTGAATCCACTCCAGTGCGAGTGTTGCTCAGGAGAAGTTTTTATACAGCAAAGAAAATGTTTTCAGTACAGAGAAAAAGGTGTTGGTTCCTGCTTTTTAAAGGGATAGTTGCTGACTCACATCTGCTGTATGTAAGCATGTATTTAGGTTTTGTACCTCATACAACCCCACTTCAAAAAAATCCACACTGTCCCTTTACCTCAGAGGATTTACTGCTTTTCTTTTTTATATCGTTGTATCTCATCAGGCTTCTTTGTCGGTCAGACCAAACAATGAGTTTAAAAATTGTCACCGTGGACCTCCAGATCTCAATTCAATTCAATTCAATTCAGCTTTATCTAAAGTGTAAAATCACCATAAACATGGTCTCGAAACACTTTACAGTTCACATAGACAAAATACATTAGAAAAATACAATTTACAGATAAAAAAAATACAATTTACAAATAAGCACAATTATTTACACACAAAAAAAAAAAAAAAATTAAAAAATACAATAAAAAAAGTGCTATCAAGTTGTGCCACATGCTTGGGAAAATAAATAGGTTTTTAGTCTTGATTTAAAGATGTCAACAGATTCAGCATCCCTTAGTGGTTGGGGGAGCCGGTTCCAGAGAAGTGGGGCACGGTGGGAAAATGCTCTACCACCTACTGATTTTTTGTGAACTTTGGGGACTGTGAGGTAGTTACCATTTTGTGAACGGAGAGCACGTGCTGGAACGTATGGAGTGATTAGTTCGGATAAGTATGGGAGTGCTAGGCCATGAAGAGATTTGTAGGTGAGTAAAAGCAGCTTGAAGTCTGATCTGGACTGGATCGGGAGCCAGTGGAGTGTGATTAAAGCTGGGGTTATGTGCTCATATTTCCTGGTTTTGGTAAGTATCCTGGCTGCTGCATTTTGAACAAGTTGTAATTTGTTTGTGCTGCGCTGCGGTAGGCCAGAGAGGAGGATATTGCAATAATCTAGTCTAGATGAAACAAAGGCGTGAACTAGGATTTCTGCATCTGAGGTATTTGACATGATTTTTGGACATTGTTAAGACTTACCAGCTAATAGAACACACAGTTGATAATCTATAATGGATATAATCATTCCTCACAGTCCTGGTTTGATGGTGTTTATGGTCCGTCTGTACAGATGCAGACGAAGCGCTCAGTGTGGAGCGAGATGGACCTGAAGGTCGTCATGATGGGTCAGCCAGGCTCCGTGGAGGTGCAGAAATTCCCCCACGCCCTCATCTCAATCTACCTGGTCCTGGCCTTCACACCCTTCGTCACCTTCCTCATCGTCAACGTGGCAGCTGAGAAGGAGCATCGCCTCAAAGACACCATGACCATGATGGGGCTGTATGACACCGCTTTCTGGTGAGGGAGAGGAGCGCGTCAGTCGCTGTAGATAAATAATCAGCAGGAACCTGCTTTCTGTTTGCACGCTTTAAGTCTTTGTGTCGTACAACAGGTTGTCGTGGGGCCTCCTGTACGCCGCTCTGGTGACCACCATGTCCATCCTGATGTCCATCATCGCCACGTATACGGCCCTGTTCCCTAACAGCGACTTCTTCGTTATCTTCTTCCTCATCTTCCTCTATGGAATATCATCAGTGAGTAGAGCTGTGACAGAGAGGAAGCATAAACCTCCACAGATGTGTTGCTCTGGTTAAACGCTCACAAGACACATTCATATCATATTATTTACCCCCAGTTAGGGCTGCAATGGTATGAGACTTTCCAGTTACTGCTAAGGAATCAGCACTACAAGTATGATATTTTCTAAAATTGTTGCTAATTTTTAAAGGGGATTTTTTTTCCCAGTGTTCCCAGTAAAGTTTAACTGGAGGTTTTAACTACAGCGTTGTTTAGTTTAGTGCTCTCAGTACAAACAGCTCCAATGATGGGACTCAGTAAAATATTGATCCTTTTCCCTCCTCCCGTCTCCCTCTGTCGTCTTTCGCTCTTCTCTCATCCCACAGATCTTTTTCTCCTTCATGCTGACTCCGTTATTCAAGAAGCCAAAGTTTGCCAGCACTGTGGGCTCCATGCTGACAGTGGTGTTTGGCTGCCTGTCACTGTTCACCGTGCTGATGAAGGACTTCCCTCAGCCACTCGTCTGGCTTCTCTGCCTGCTCTCCCCCAGCGCCTTCTCCATCGGGATAGCTCAGGTAACAAACACACTCACACTGAGCTCCACTGGTTATTCTCTAGGACAGAGAGGCAAAGTCGCACCATGGGACCTAGTATCAGAAAAAATATGTTCAGTAGAGACAAATAATTTTTGATCCTAAGTCCTAAGATAAGTTTGCGAGTTAGGAAAGTCGTAGTTTGTCCTAAAACTGTTGAAGTATAAGACTGAAAAACTTACTACTACTACTTACTACTTAAAGGCCAGTTCACATTACACGATTTTCACCCTGATTTTGCGTCGCAGAGACTATCGTAATCTTTTGAGTGTTCATACCTGGCGACGTGTGTTTCTGTCAGCGAGAGTCTCACCAACTGCGTTACGACCTGTGTGTGCACACCACAAGATTTCTCCACCGAGCCCTCGCCGACAGAGCCCCAGATAACGCGGTGACGTCACCAAACTTGGAGACGACACATCGTAAAGGCATGGATATTCTTCCCAGTGTTGAATCAGATCTGCCTCCAGGGCCTGGGTCCAAACACAACGCGCTCCCCGTGATCCTGTGGACGACGCCATTGTTGATGTTGCTTGCCAGCTTGTCAGTGTTGCCAGATCTTGGGAGAGAAACAAGCAACCAGGGCTATGGAAACAAGCCCAAAAGAAGCGACTAGACCTGGCAACCCTGCGGCTTGTCCTCCTCACATTTCTTCCGTCCTCCTGCGTGCTGATGTGGGACGTATCCCGCCTCTCATTGGCTGATGCTCTTTGTCAGTCATGTCACACTTCTCCAGTTTTCTAGCATGCCAGATATCCAGTCCCAGTCACAGACAAGGGGGCGACTAGCTCATAGACTTGTTCACACATAAAGACTAATCATGGCAGACTATCAGCAGACTCACCTCCGACCCAAGGTGGCTCTCAAGATCCTCTGCGACGTCAAAATCGCGGTGAAAATTGTGTAATGTGAACTAGGCTTAAATTGCCTTAAAAGAGGTCACACGCTTTCTGTCTGTCTGAAGCTACGATGTCTGTGTGTTTGGTACAGGATTTATTTCTAGAAGAACAGGTGTTAGTCATTCAACTTGACCCACATGCCTTCAAGCTTTGATTGTTGCCGTAGTAATTGACATTAAAATCAGTTTTTAAATGCTCCATTTATATTTATGCATCACTCCAGAAATTCTATAAAATAAGAAATAGTTATCCGACATTATTCATTTCGCATCAACATCAGGGTGGGGCGACTCATCGACATGATCGACGTCATCGATTAAACTGAAATAACTTTGTATTGTTTGGATACACATATAGGAGCCGTGCAGTTATTTAAGATATGAAACACATGATCTGTAATCTGTGTGTGTGCCTGTGTGTGTTTGTCAGGTGGTTTACCTGGAGGCTCAGGGAGACGGGGCTGTGTTTTCCTCCCTGGCCAACGGCCCTCATCCTCTTTACGTTCCCCTGCTCATGCTGGTGTTGGACTGCATCCTCTACCTTCTGTTGGCCATTTACCTGGACCAGGTACTGCCTGGTGAGTACACACACACACACTGCATACGCCAATATCATTTACTACTAACGAAGTCTGCTTCAATGTTAGAGGTGTGACCGTGCGCATGAGTTCAGTGCGAGTTCAGTATGGCGGGAAAAGCCCAGTCATCAGGATCTGTTAGTTTTCATGTCTTTAGAATAGGGCTGTCAGGTGATTTTAAAAATGAATCTAATTAATTACCTGCTCTGTGATTAATTAATCTAAACCAACCTTTATAAGTTCTGCAGCACCAGACAAGTTTCCCCGTGGCATCACTGCACTTTAACCTCTCATTGTTTGAGTGTTCTTACGATATGTAATTCATTTTGTCTGCAATGCAGGGGAGTTTGGGATGAGGAGGTCCTTGGTGTACTTCCTGAAGCCGTCCTATTGGTCCAAACGCAGAAAGCGCTACGTTGAAGTGAGCTCAGTGTACGACACGGAGGTGAAAGGCGCTCCTGGTGGGGACGAGTGTGTCGAGCCGGTTTCACCTGAGTTCAGAGGGAAAGAAGCCATCCGGTAAAAGTCTCAGCTTGCATGTGAATGTCAGTTAGATGTTTATTTCTGTTGTAATAAATGCAGCTTGTTACATTTCTGGATAAGGTATTACAGTTTTTTATGATGGATGCCTTTGTAGCATCATTAGATATTACTGCTGTTTTATCAAAGTGTGCACAAAGTATCTAAAGTGTTCATTCATAGTATGAGCTCTGTGATTGTGAAGCATGAGGAGAGGAGTGATGCTTTGAGAGTGTCCAGTAGAAATCAGAGTCAGGCTCCTGGTCCTGGTCCTGGCTGAGGAGAGCCTGTGGGAGCTGCTCTTCAGTCTGACGCCTCTGAAAAATGTTTTCTGCTTCTTGTCTGGCAGCATCAATAACATCCAGAAAGTGTACAAGGAGAAGGACAACGTGGTGGAGGCTCTGAGAGGTGAGTCCTCAACACTCTTTAGCACAAAGGCTTCTCAGTTAGCACCTGTTGTGATGTCATCGATATCATCTGCTCATTTTACACAGTCAGGAACAGAAGAAGCTGCCACCCCCTTTCTTTTTTCACTTTTGGCCATAAAAGATAAAAACAGCACATAAATATTAAGTGCAGTAAAGACTTTATTCTGACTCCACTAACACATATTAAACAGCACATGGGATCAGTTAACCTTCAGGGCTTTCTGACAGAGAGACCCACATGATGAATGTCAGTGCTGAAACAGAACGGTGTTCAGCCCTACTGTGTGTCTGCTCTCCTCCACTCCTCCTTCAGGTTTGACGTTCGACATCTACGAGGGTCAGATCACGGCTCTGCTGGGACACAGTGGGGCAGGAAAGTCCACTCTCATGAACATCCTGTGCGGCATCTGCCCGCCCACCAACGGCTCGGCCACCATCTACGGCTCCCCCGTGGCAGAGATCGCAGACGGGTCAGAGATGAAGCAGCTGGTGGGGATTTGCCCTCAGTTCAACATCATCTTTGACGTGCTCACTGTGGAGGAGCACCTCAGGATATTTGCTGCCATCAAAGGGATCCCGCCGTCAGACATCGACGCTGAGGTAACGAGACGATCTGAACACTTTAAAAGTCTCTTGTCTGTAGCTGGGTTGTTTCACAGCCTTTGTTGTGAACTGTTTAGTCTGAAAGTATTTAAATGCATGAACATAAATCATCTTGAGTTATCAGTCAGGGTTCAGAGGCTTTTTTTTTATTGCACTTTGACCGTTAACAAAAACTCTGTTACTGGTCTGACCTTTCTAATTTCAGACGGCTTATTCAGAAATGCAGCGTGAGATTGAGGGACTGTTTATTCACTTTGATAGGTTACCAAAGTGCTGAAGGATCTGGACCTGGAGAAGATCATGACTGCTCAGGCAAAGAATCTGAGTGGAGGCCAAAAGAGGAAGCTCTCCGTGGGCATCGCCATTCTCGGAGATCCTAAGGTACCTGAGGCTCAAGGGCTCTCACTATTAATAGTTTAATGTGTTTTGTGTGTATCCTGGTCTCACACTGGAAAGTCTTTGGCATTATCAGTCTCTCTTTTAGCAGTATAACATCATCGTGGGTCCATTTTCTGAGCCGTTTGCATCATGTTTGTTCCTGTCAGATCCTGCTCCTGGACGAGCCCACAGCAGGCATGGACCCCTGCTCCAGACACCAGGTGTGGTCACTGCTGAAGAGCCGCAGAGCCGGCAGGGTCACCGTCCTCAGCACGCACTACATGGATGAGGCTGACATTCTAGCTGGTATGAACTCTCTCTGTTCCATAAAGTCCAGTTCAGTTACAGATCAGAAGTACAGGGAGTTGTTGACTAGAGATTATACGCCGTCTCATGGTGGTCACTTCCTGTCAACGTTACAGATCAGAACTACAGAGAGTTGTTGACTAGAGATGATACGCCGTCTCATGGTGGTCACTTCCTGTCAACGTTACAGATCAGAAGCACAGAGAGTCGTTGACTAGAGATGATACGCCGTCTCACGGTGGTCACTTGGTGTGAACCGGCAGGTTTTACAACACTGCAGAACGGTGCATTGCAAGTAGTTGGTTGTTTCAACTCATCTCGTTGCGAATCTTTGGTCTGAACTGGGCTTTACATACACTGACCCACAGACACCAAAACCATGAGGCTATCTACTTAAACAACTTGAAATTTCCAACTGGGAACTTAGGAATTCCCACTTCCCAGTGCAAATGGAACGCACCACAAGTAATAAAGATTTCAAAAGAAGTGCAGCAGTGTATTTCAGGCCTACATCGGGAAGGTCAGAGCGCGTTAAAGGTCAAAGTGAAGATGAATTTTTAGCTTTTTTTTTTTAATAACGTTAGTGAGCTGGCTGATATCTACATAAGTGCCAACTTCACCCTCCATGTTTTTTTATGCCTCCGTGCCGACAGCAGCTGTGGCCGGAGGCATTATAATTTCGGGTTGTCTGTGTTTGTTCCGTCTGTCCCATCCTTGTGAACGCGATATCTTAAGAATGCCTCGATGGAATTTCTTCAAATTGGGCACAAATATCTACTTGGACCCAGTGATGATTTTTTTAGATTTTGGTGGTCGAGGATCAAATGTCAAGGTCAACATGACCTTTCATCATCTCATCATTGTGAAGGCAGTATCTCAAGAACAACTTGAGGAAATTTCTTCAAATTTGGCACAAACATCTTCTTGGACTTAGTGATGAACTGATTAGATTTTGGTGGTCAAAGTTCAAGGTCAGTGTCACCTCATCTGTCTCATTCTTGTGAACACGATATCTCTATAATACCTTGAGGGAATTTGGCACAAACGTTCACTTGACCTGAGGAATAAACTGATTAAAACTTGTTTGTCAAAGGTCAGTGTGACCTCACAAAACATGTTTTTGGCCATAACTCAAGAATTCATTCACTAATTCTGACAAAACTTCTCACTAATGTCTAACAGGATAAAATAATGAAGGTCAAAAGGTCAAAGGTCATCTTGACTGTGACATCATGTTTTAACGTCATATCTCAGGAACAGAAGGGGAGACATTTGGTCAGATACTGAATTGGTGACTCTAATCTTGAAACTGTGCTGATTGTATAGATCTTCTGTGTGTGAAGCATCCATGTTTTCACTGACATGGATGGAGACTGTCAGAGACACTGGACTGGTGGGCGGAGTCATACAACCACAAGGTGGTAATTCTAGTTTTACTTTTACAGTTGACATTGTTCATGTCAGCATCTGATGTGTGACTGCTGATGGCTGAACTCTGAAGTTGTTTGCAGCCAGCTGCAGTTTCAGAATCACAGACACAGATGTTATTTTTATTTCTCCAGATCGTAAAGCTGTGATCTCTCAAGGACAGCTCAAATGTGTTGGCTCCTCTCTGTATCTCAAGGTTAAGTGTGGCGTTGGATATCATCTCAGGCAAGTAGATTTTGCTTCCCTGGTGTAGTTTATTGTTTCAGCTGTCGACTACTGAAAACTCAAAGAACAGTAAACCATTTTTGGATATTTAAAAATCCTGCTGGCCCATTATCAGATCATTCTGTAAATGACCTGATGAATAAATTAAAGAATCATTCAGTGTTTTTATGTTGTTGTTTTTTTGCTACGACTTATTGAGGGTTTGTTTTCTAACTTAGTTTTTTTCCTCCCCTGCAGGATGTCTATCAATGAGAGATGTGAAGCCGAAAAAATCACCTCACTGGTCAAGCAACACGTTTCCAAAGCAAAGCTGTCTCGACAACACGAGGCAGAGTTAACATTCACTCTGCCTTTTGAGAGCATGGACACGTTTCCAGGTCAGATCTGGTTATTTATACGGCGCCCTTTAATAACAAACTGAAACAATACTGAACCAGCAGGAAGTGCTGATTAACTTGTCTGTCACAGGCCTGTTCTCAGAGCTCGACCATCAACCCAATCTGGGAGTTATCAACTATGGGGTTTCCATGACAACACTGGAGGATGTATTCCTTCGTTTGGAGGCGGAGGCTGAAGTGGACCAGGCTGGTGAGTGTGTTACCAAAGCAGCGTTCTCCCTCCCCGACTCCCTTATTAAACTGTACATCTGTGTGTGTTTGTTTCGTGTCTTCAGACTACAGTGTGTTTAATCGGGAGCAGGCGGAGGACGAATGTGACAACGCCTCTCTGGACGATACTGACCAGCGGCTGCTAACGTTCTCAGACAGCAAGTCAGACATCGTGTCGGGTCACGCTCTGTGGCGGCAGCAGTTCAGCACCGTGGCCTGGCTGCACATGCTCAACATGCGCAGGGAGAGGAAGGCCTTCGTCTACACGTGAGTGTTCATGGAGATGGCTTAAATAACTTACTTTACAGTACCACTACCAGAACCCTGAAGAGTACTTCATTTCATACCTTCTTCTTTTACTTCATTTGATACACGTCATGTGAATAGAGTTATGTTTAGTACAGCGATACTGTCAAACATTTCGGTGGCATCTCTGCACACTGAACTGCCGACTCCATAAGTACATTGTACTCGACTTCACCTCACCACAGACTGTTTGGGTTGTAGCTGCTGCTGAAGTGAGCCAATCACACTTTGCAGCAAACGCATGCAGTGATTGGCTGCACCTAAAACCATGCTAGAGTCATTTTTTTCTACATCTGGGTACAAAAAGGATTGAATGCAGGTTTGAGTGGAGAAGTTTTGATGCTTCTTAACACTGGGTTATTTTAGTTGATACCATATGAGGTACTGAGTACCAATACCCGGCAGTCCTAGTGTACAGAGACAAAAATGATTCGAAAATCCTTTGCGTGGATCACGTTAATAAGTTACTCTCGTTGGCGTTTAGCTCGGGCTTTTGTTGCACTTGCAGTGCTGTGGTGAGACCACTGTCTCTGTTCTGCCTGCGATGAAACATCATGCGCCACAGACGACAGCAAAACACAAGAGACTTACACTGAGCTGAAACAAGTTCTCATAACTGCAGTAAATAACAAAAATAAACATTGTGATTTGCTGTTGTTTATGGCGGGCTGCAGAGTGGAGGAGAGGCAGAGTTGGAGAGTTGATGACAGCTGCACCCAGCGCTGCTGAGCATGAAACCTTTGCCAGTAAAACACATGTGTGACAGCTGACATAAAACAAAGCAGTAGATCGGATCTTTGAGATCAGATCACGACATCACCAGTTCCATCCTTAACCTGAACTTTTGTGTTAAAGCGAAACTTACCTTTCTGGAAATTTCATGCTTTTCTTTGTGGAGGTTAAAATGCTATTAATAAGCTGATGGCACACTAAAATGTAAGTGAATTCCACCAGAGATTAAAAACTCATATACCATTCTCTATATGGTTCTAAGAAAACTCAGACTGAGCGTCCTGTCTGTCTTCCCCACGTGGAGGCCTCCGACTGACATAACCGCTCGCATAAGCTACGTCCGTCATAGTCGTAATGAGGACGTAATGGAGGAGGGGGGAGTAGGCCTTTGGAGGGTGGCGGGAGTTGTGAATGTTCAAATTTTTTCTAAGTACTGTGTGAATTGCAAGGTGGTGGCTTTAATGAGACATTGTCCCTTCCTTCCATTCATCCTGTCCGTCCTCTCCGTCTACCTTCCCCTGCAGCCTGGCCTTGTTCCTGGTGTTTGTGGCCGCGGTGCTCGTCCTGTCTCTGGCCACAGGAAACATCCAGATTCACTCCCCAGACCGTCAGTTTCTGCCCATTTACCTTCTCAAAAGGAACCAGTCGCCGCGGAGATACGCCACCAGCCTCCTGGTTCAGAACTCCTCAGGTGAGTCTGCAGGAGGTTTTCTGGAGGATGAGACTTTGTCCTGTGACCTGGGAGGAAACTGGATGATGTTTAGCGCCAGGATGTCGGCTGTTACCTCATCTGGTGTTAGATTCTGTTTTGAAGTTAAGTTCAGGTTTTTGTTATAATGCTGTGTGTCCTCAGTGAGACCTCAGATCTCCTTCCTGTCAGAAAGTGCTGCATGCTGTAAATATTGTGATGGTCCACAGACTGCTGTACAGCTGTTAGATTACACCATAAACGACAATCGATGAGATCTGTCCCGTGGGTGCAATTCTAACTGACCTCCTCGATGATGATAACCCTCTGAATATCCTTTTACTCTCATTTCCTCCATTTTGAACTCCTCACAGTGCTGTTTTCTCACATGTGGCTCATCAGTGTGTTTTTTTTCTCGTGCCAACAGGCTCTGATATTTCTGACTTCGTCCACAACCTGGAGTCTCAGGACATCAAAGTGGACATGATGAAACACAGCGACTACATGGCCGCGGCTCCTCACAGCGCCGCCATCAACGTTACAGGATCCAGCAAGGTCACTTCATGTTTTTCTTTAATGCTTTATTTGTAGTGTTTTTACAAATTGTGAAAAAAATTAGTTCAAATTAAAACACACACAAACAAACAAATAAGAAAATTGTCCTGTCGCTCAAAAGCTGTTCATCCCTGTGACATAGTGACTCGCTCTCGACATCGCTCCTCTTGAGTCCTTATCCTGTGGGTTAACAGTTCCTTATCATATACACTCACTGGCCACTTTATTAGGTACACCTTGCTGGTACCAGGTTGGATCCCCTTTTTAATTCTTGGTGTCACAGATTCAACAAGGTGCTGGAAACATTCCTCAGAGATGTTGGTCCATATTGACATGATGACATCACACAGTTGATCCATGCTGAGAATCTCCCGTTCCAGCACATCCCAAAGGTGCTCTATTGGACTGAGATCTGGTGACTGTGGAGGCCATTGGAGTACAGTGAACTCATTGTCATGTTTGAGATGATGTGAGCTTTGTGACATGGTGCATTATCCTGCTGGAAGTAGTCATCAGAAGATGGGTACACTGTGGTCATAAAGGGATGGACACGCTCAGCAACAATACTCAGGTAGGCTGTGGTGTTTAAACCATGCTCAGTTGGTACTAAGAAAATCTCCCCCACACCATTACACCACCAGCAGCAGCCTGAAGCGTTGATACAAGGCAGGATGGATCCATGCTTCCATCTGAATGTGGTTTTTCCAATCTTCTATTGTCCAGTTTTGGTGAGAAAACCCGTGTGAATTGTAGCCTCAGTTTCCTGTTGTTAGCTGACAGGAGTGGCACCTGGTGTGGTCTTCTGCTGCTGTAGCCCATCTGCTTCAAGGTTGGACAAGGTGTTGTTACTTCAGAGATGCTCTTCTGCACACCTTGGTTGGAACCAGTGCTTATTTGACTTCCTGTTGCCTTTCTATCATCTTGAACCAGTCTGGCCATTCTCCTCTGACCTCTGGCATCAACAAGGCATTTTGGCTCACTGGATATTTTCTCTTTTTGGGACCATCCTCTGTAAACCCTAGAGATGGTTGTGCTGAAAATCCCAGTAAATACACAGACCAGCCCGTCTGGCACCAACAACCATGCCACGTTCAAAGTCACTTCAATCACCTTTCTTCATCATTCTGATGCTCTGTGTGAACTTCAGCAGCTCGTCTTCACCGTGTCTACATGACTAAATGTTAATGAGCTGCTCCATTCATCTTGTGTTGGTGGCTCTGCCTTGTGCCATCTCTTCGTGATGGCCTTTTTACAGGCTGCCAACAAGATTTTCAGAAGGTGTCTGTCTTCTCTTAACACAACTCCTGCCTTATTGCCTGAATACATTTCTGTGCATGATCAAAGTATATCGCAGCATTTACCAGAAACTGTACTGTTTATGATTTGAGGCTGTAATTCTAGTTAGATTTCAGATATCTGATGGAACTGGAGATAAAACATCAGACGAGTGCTCAGCTCTCCTGCAGCACCTCCACCTACAGTTATGGTGTTAGTGGTGTTTCAGATGAAGGGCCCTTTGTTTGAGGGCCGTGGAGTCCTCCAACTGAGAGCCTGACTGTATATTTAGATGGAGTGGAGTTCACCTGTCGATGTGCGTCTCTCTAACACCGTCTTTTCTGTCTGTCCACAGGGTTTCAGATACAGTGTTGCGTTCAACAGCACCACAGTTCACTCCTTGCCTATGGCGGTCAATATACTGAGCAACGCTCTTCTGAGGGGTCTGAATGGCAGCGGACAGATCAGAACGTGGACCAAACCATTTGATTATGTGAGTGTTTGACAGATGACACACATCCTGTTTTCTTTTGTGATTTAAAGATATTAAATGTTCCTATTGTGACATTTCTCAGCAAATCCCAGATGCCACGTCCTACGCTCTGGTGTACATAGAGGCCATCATACTGGGAATGCTGGCAGCTGGAATGCCTGCATATTTTGCAATGGACCACACTCGAGACAGAGAGGTGATCACTCACTCCCAGTGGTCATGATGCAAATGATCATTTGGACACACAGTTCTCCTGCAGTGTCGCGTTACTGCTGGCTTTTCACCATCTCACCATCCTGATTAGATATTAATGTAATAATACAGGAAATGTTTTTTGTCTCCTGCAGATCAAGTGTCGCTCAACACTGCGTATCTCCGGTCTGGTGCCGTCGGCCTACTGGTGTGGCCAGGCAGCCGTGGACATCCCCTTCTACTACCTCATCCTCTCCTGCATGACCATCATCCTCTTCTCCTTCCACACTGGAAACCTGCTCACCTCCAGCAACCTCACCGCTGTGGTCCGTACATGCATACCTTACACAGAATTATTATGTGTACCCCTCCTCGTCCACACACTGTGGACAACCATATCTTAATTTCTGCAAAGAGACCTGCCTCTCTGCTCGTCTGTTTGACTTAACTAGATATAACTTTCAGGGAACGCACCTGTGACAAAATGCTCAGTCGAGCCTCAGAAACATTCCAAGATCAAACATATAATACATGATGTGATTAATATTCTTTTCTGGTGATATATGTATGAGAAATACATGTTTCTATTGAGTCACTCTTCATGACCTCAAACCTCTCTCAGGTCCTGTGTATCGTCGGCTTTGGTCCAGCCATGATCCTCTTCACCTACGTGTTTTCTTTTGGCTTCGCTCGAGTCCAAAGCAACAGGGATTTCTTCTCTGTCATCTCCATGATGGTGAGACGGGATGCCTTGTTTATACGTGTGAAAATAAAGGTGTAACCACCCTCTAAAATGTGAACTGCAAACAGCACAATAAGTGTGTTCATTGATGTTAAAACCTGTGATCGCACTGCCTAAAATAAAAAGTAAACAGGCTTCTAACAGCTTCACATTCACACCATTTTATGACTTATCTTTGATTCATCTAATCATGTTTTAGACCATTAGAGCCACATGAAAGAGTTTCACCGTCTAACTGTGTGTTACGCCTCAGGTGTGTGTGGTGTCAGCGTCACTGGTTCAGTTGTCATTTGTGAATGACAACCCTGGACTGACCAGAAACCTGCACAACATCTTGTGTTTCTTCAACCCTCTGTACCCCCTCATGGGCTGCCTCAACTGCATCACCAAGGTACGAGCTCCACAGGGCAACCAGTCGCTTCCTTCAGCTGTTTCTCTGTCTGCTTTTTAGGGGACCTCCTATGTTTTTCCTTGATTTTGGTCATATATGCTGTGCTCAAAAAAATCAAGGGAACACTTAAATCACACGTGAAATCTTCGTACACAGCCCTGGATTCCTCCTGGTGCAGTGGGCCCTAGTGTGTACGGGCTCAGCCTGCCTGTATGATCTCCTGACAACATCTGGGCATACCTAAATGGACAGATTGATATCCCTGAAGTTTAACTGACTTGGTGTTAGACTGAGACCATCATGTGTTCAGGGTTCAGGGTGTTTTCTCTGTGAAGATGTGAAAGCTCCAGCTGCTGTGTGAGCAGCAGCCTCATCACTGATATTTTCTCTTCGTCTTCAGGCGACCTTCCTCCCCTCTCTGTACGAGGAGAACTTCCTGTGGAAAAACCTGCTCATTGCGGTCATAGCTGTATGTATATAACTATAAAGAAATGTCGGTCCAAACATCGCTGTGCTCAGTGAACACAGAGTGTAAAAACATGTGTTTAGTCCTTAAAATGTGTGTGTTTGTGCTCAGCCGTATATGCAGTGCATCCTGCTGCTCTGCCTGCTGCGCTGGCTGGAGATCCATTACGGAGGCAAAACAGTGAAAAGCGATCAGTTCTGCAGGTAAAGATCAGATTTCAGGTCATAACTCAGATTACACACTGACGCTGCACTTTTTTTTTAACATGGAGGTTTTACTTGTATTTCACATGAACACTTGAAGCTTCTCAGTCTGACACTCGTCTCAGTTCAGTTTTAATGGTGGAAGATCTCTTTGCGTTTACAGGATCTCGTCCAAGTCGAAGCCCAAAGTGGAGAAAAACCCAGAAGAAGGGCTGAATGAGGATGAGGATGTTCAGATGGAGAAGGCCAGAGTGAAGGAGGCCCTCACCTGCCAGTCCTGTGAGGAGGTGAGGGAAGGATGCCGACATAAGGAGCTGTTGAACTTCGTCTGTCAGATGTCAGTGGGTGTTAGTGGGGTTTTTGTCCAGTGAGAAAGGAGCTTTACTTTCTGGGATGCACAGGTCTTTGTGCCTTTATTTCAACTAAATTCCTGATCATCTCTGCTTCATATTCTCTTATAATTAAGATAAACACACACAAGTTATACATTGATTATTTAAATAACCCTTTTTCCTTTAACAAAAGTTGTGCTCGTGAGCCTCAATCTGCAGGATTCCTTTTTATTCATTGTATGTTTTCGCCCCCTGACCATCACGAGGTATCTGCTGATCACAGTTAATGTCGTCTCTCCTGTCCATGTAGAAGCCGGCTGTGGTTGTGAGTAACCTGAGGAAACAGTACAAAGGCAGAAGAGAAGGATTTTCTCTCAACAAGAGGAGGAAAGTGGCCACAAAGAACGTCTCTTTCTGTGTTCGCAAAGGTTTGTTCCGTCTGTCTGCTGAGTGGACTTGTACTTTAATGTCCTGGTTGCCAAACCTGGTGTGTTAAACTGCTCTGACCCTCGAGGAAACTGGTGACAAATGTTCAGCCACAGTGTTTGTTTCAGGAAAAATAAAACTGCTGTTTCCTCAGGTGAAGTTCTCGGACTGTTGGGCCCCAACGGAGCAGGAAAGAGCACCATCATGCACATGTTGTCAGGTGACACTGACCCCACTGCAGGACAGGTACTGCTCAGATTAAACTCTCCATGTCTCTCACTAGGTTTTCAGCAGTACACCAGTTTCAGAGTGGTCTAAAAATGAACGGTTATCATTTCATGTTCATTTGCTTATCTACAATATTGAGAAAAACATGCCACCTGACAGAGAATCCTCGACTGCCTGTCAGACTGTCTACACATACACCCATTAAAAAATGGTTTTAAGTTTTGCCCGGCAGCCCCCTCACCCTGACATCCCTCCATTTAATGCATGTGTAGGTCCTGTTTGTACATGTGTGTATATTTCAGGCCTGTGTGCGTATGACACCAGAGTGAAAAAAATCCCAGGATTGAATCCAAGAAGATTAATAAAGTTTTCTTCTTCTTTTTTTAAATCCGTGACCGTAATTGTACTGTAGAAATCTCACACTGTTGCAGATAGTTTTGCTCCAAAATTGCCGTACATTTAAAAATAAATACGAACTCATGTTGCGTCACTCACGTTTACACACCTACTCCAAAATTTTCATCTGTCATTGAAGTTTTCAGAACACGTTTAATTATTAATTTCTTAGCAATCATTGGAATTACTCTAAAATATAATCTGAATTTGTAATTTTATAATTCCTCGTGTTGAACAAATAATTTGTCGCCAGTAAAAGAAAGATGTTTTTCTCTTTTCTTGGTCCACGTGCTCTCGACCACTCGTAAAATTTTCTGTTACCTGACAGGGGAGCAAAACTAAGAAATATACAATATAGAAATACAAAAGTTTGTATACCCCTCGCTGCATGAGGACCAGTCCTGTCAACCATTAGCACCGGCCAAATGCTGCTCAAATATGCTGCTAGATTTGTTTCACTTACCAGCCAAAAAAATAATGGTCATCTGTCGCGTGGCTGGTAGAATTTAAAATCCACCAGTCACAGTGGCAGGTGGTCACCGGCTCACTGACCGTCTGTTGTCTTCGTCCAGGTGCTGATGGGGGACTACAGCACAGAGTTTCGTCCGGTGGACAGTCCCGTGGAACATGTGGGCTACTGTCCTCAGGTGAACCCTCTGTGGCCCAGGATCACTCTGCAGGAGCACCTGGAGATCTACGCCGCCATCAAGGGCCTGAAAGGACAGGACGTACCAGGGATCATCAAACGGTGAGACGACACTAAGTTTTGTACGGTGGACACTCACAGGTGATGGTGTAGTGTGACAGGTACGCCTCCCTCCTCCAGAGAGTTCCCAGATATTACTGATTCTTCCGATCTGTAAATGAGGACCACCTGTAGTGTGATTGTCAGCGTCTGGGTGGACAATAACAGGGAGTCAAACATGTGACATTTTGAAAGCTGTTTATGAATTCAGTAAATGTAACTTTATTGACAGTATTTTAATGTTCCACCTGCTGACTACAGGGAGAACCTGGTTTACACCACCTGTGTTTCGTAATGATGGAGAAGATCTGAGATGATCTGTGATGAGATGTGAGAGCTGCTGACAGCTGTGTTGTGACTGTTGTTGTTGTCAGTGTGGTGAACGCTCTGGAGCTGAAGGACCACCTGAACAAACAAGCCAAGACCCTGTCAGCGGGACTCAAGAGGAAGGTGAGAAGACGTTCACCATTCTAATCTATACAAAGACACTCAGCTGTCAGCATGTACACAAAGACACAGGATCTTAGAGAACCCACTGGACGTTAAATTAAATAACTGGACACACTTTGCAAACAAAGAAACATTAAACATGGACTCCACTGTTGTCTGTCTGCAGCTGTGCTTCGCCCTGAGTATGATCGGGAATCCTCAGATCGTCCTGCTGGATGAGCCGTCATCAGGGATGGACCCCAAATCCAAACAGCGCATGTGGTGAGACTTTAGAACAGTGACATCCTGCAGCGTCTCCTGATTCTGCTGTGTTTAATGTGACATTTGTCATCAAAGGACACGTTAGATTATTTTCATTATACATTTATTTAAACTATTAAAAATTAAGATCATTTAAAATAATTCAGTTCAGTTAAAAAGATCTAATGTTACTTGAGGAATGTTTTGATTGAGATCTCACAGCTCAATATTTTAACTTCATATACATTTTTTTTTCTATAAAATCCTATTTCTCAGTCAGTTCAGGGACAATTTATGAATTTGCCGTGAGGACACTTGACGTCTCTGTCCCATCTAAAGCATCTGACCTCTGTCTGTGTAGGAGAGCCATACGTGCTGCCTTCAAGAACCGCCAGCGGGGAGCCGTCCTCACCACACACTACATGGAGGAGGCCGAAGCCGTGTGTGACCGCGTAGCCATCATGGTGTCCGGCCAGCTGAGGTCAGCACTCACGGCGGCGTGTCTTTCTTTGACGGGACTTGTTCAGGTGTCTGGATCTCTCAAAGCTCCGTCTGTCTTTCAGGTGTATCGGCTCCATCCAACATTTAAAAGGGAAGTACGGTCGAGGTTACAGTTTGGAGGTGAAACTCCGAGAGGAGCTGACGGGGCTCCAGCAGGTGGCGCTGCTGCACAAAGAGATCCTCCGCATCTTTCCTCACGCCGCCCGGCAGGAGAGGTGAGACCCAGTCCCATTAGAGGTGTCAGTGAGTACAAATTAATGTCACATGAGCTGCCAGAAAGTCACTTTTGAAGATCCTGTGATCTTTAAAAGGAGAAAAAAGACAAGAAAAAGAGGAAGTAACGAGAAGGAAGAGGAACACTGTTTGATTTGTTTTGCTGCAGTACCGCGAGTGGCCACTGGGAAACATTGGCTGCAAGGCTGAGCAGCATTTCTGGGGTTCTGTTTTATCCTCATAAAGATTTATTAGCAACACATTTCTTTTCCTCTGGTTCTGTTAAAGTAGGAAATGTATCAGTTGTTAACCTAACTTTCAAAATAAAATCACCAGTAAAACACACAAGATGTTAAAGTGTCTGGCTGATGGTTTCTCTGCAGCTTTGCTACTCTGATGGTTTACAAGATCCCCATGGAGGACGTCAAGTCACTGGCCAAGTCTTTCTCTCAGTTAGAGAGTGGTGAGTCACACACACACACACACACACACACACACACTGCTGACTCAGTCCCTGTATTATTTCACCTGATTTAATCTCTGTTTCTCTTCAGCAAAACAAACGTTCAACTTTGAAGAGTACAACTTCTCCCAGTCGACCTTGGAGCAGGTACGAAGCTCACAAACAGCTCAGAGCCACAGGTCACTGTGCTGCCGCTCCCCGATGTCTCATCCTCCTCCTCTGCTCCGTCTCTCCGTCCTGCAGGTCTTCATGGAGTTTGCCAAGGAGCAGGAGAACGAGGAGGACGAGGTCGGCTCGCTCAGCACAACTTTCCAGTGGCAGCGTCTGCGGCAGGACGGCTCCGCCCCCGTCAACCACACAGACAGCATCGTGCACCAGCTTTGAACTCCAGCCAAGAGGGAGCAGGCTGGTGACTGACCAGGACCGACCTGCCGGGCCTCAGCGCCTGACGGCTCACGCCAGCACTCGCCCCCGCTCCACGCAAACCGACGCCCACCGCCGTTAAGTGAATGGGACAGAGCTGTGTGGGCGCTGGCACACACTGGCTCTGACTGAGTGTGTGTGTGTGTGTGTGTGTGTGTGTGTGTGTGTGTGTGTGTTTTTGAGTGTTTGGGCTCCGGGCTGTTAACGGCCTCCTTCTCCAGGTCTGAGGTGTGCATGTGTGTGACCCTCGTCCACTGGTGCTCCGTGTTTTCTGAATCGCGCTGACCGAGGGGGGCCGCGGTCTTTCTCGACACGCCGATGTGACACCTACTCCTCTTTCTAATGGTGTTTTTTATCTTCACAGGGAGTCAGTCAAAGGAAAATATATATCTATAAATAATATATAATATTTATGCTTTGTAATCATGTGTTCTCCTCTGCTCGGAGGTGTTACAGTAAGTGTGTGTTTTCGTCTGTTGTGTTTGTGAAACCGTTTATTTTTTTTTTTACCAGAACTGGGATCCATCCACAATCGTACCAAAGCAGCACATCTCTGAACCACACACCACCACACCTCCTCACTAACTGACACGTCTCTATTTGTTGTTTGGTGTCAGTAGCATGTGCACAGATGGATCAGTATCGACGAGGGGAAGATTGTGAGAACACATGACCTTCACTGAGCCCTCGACTTAACAAGCCCCTCTCCTCATGTTACACCAGCATGCACACCTTAACGTCCACGCTCACATTAAACGTCCTTCAGGACTGACTGTTGGTTATCGAGGAGGCTGGGTATATTTAGACATGGCAGACAGACGCGGATGTTGGGATGAGGGTTGTTGGGTCGCTGTGGCCTTTCTCTCTGCAGGTTTGAACCCATATGTGAACGTAGTGTAGAATATGCACTCCAGTACATGTAGCACACTGCCCTCGTCAGACGTTAGCCGGGGCTGATGACCTCAGCGGTGGAGAGGTGGAGCTCGAGGTTGCGTTCGCATGCAGACGGGGCTTTTTGAAGCGGTTTGACGACGAAGATTTTTTGATGTTTGAATGTACGTTTGGCTCCAGACGTCACCCTGTTTCACTTTGGTGCCACTTTGAATCACGCAGCTGTTGTTTTAACTCTGTGTGTGAGCGAGTGTGTGTGTGTGTGTGTGTATGTGTTGTATATCTGTACACGCAGGTGGGTTGTTGGTGCAACACTGATTAAACCGATAAATTGTAATTTTTCCATGACGTTCAGATGAGAGGATGAAAGGGTTAAAGGGAATTTAAGACACTTTGAGAAACGCTCGACATGTTGGGTCGAGTTTTATTTTGTCAGCGACCGTACATCAGTGTGGGAGGATGAGATTAGTCCTGAAGAGCTAACTGAACATCTGTCACTATCACCGTTAGTCCACTGGGTCGGTTGGACACAAGGAGGTGGACAAAATAACAGGAACAGCTGATAAAATATGGAGATGGATTTGTTTCAGAGTTATTTAGGTGAACAGATCGACGGTCTGTGTGTTAAAGGGACAGTTCAGATGTTTTGAAGTGTGGTTGTGTGAGGTGCTTCTCAGTCAGTGTGTTACCTACAGGAGATGTCAGTTGACACGTCTCCAGTTTGGAGAAGCAGGCACAGAATCTAAACAATGCTCTCCTGTAGACAGTCGGCAACATTTATTTTAACCTCCTAAAAAAAATCAATATCACCGTGTTACTGAGAGCATTTTCACCACTTTGTCTTTCTGTCAGAAAGCTTGTTTTGATGGGAAAGCTGTGAACAGTGTCAGTTGCCATGTTTGCTCTCGTCAAAGCCACCAGACTCCATTTAGAAAAACAGTAATTTTATCTCTCTGAACACAGGAGCTGCTGGTCGACTGCTGCCTCCATCAGTTTGTGTTATTGTGTGACTTTGGTGAATCTGAATTAACCCTTTAAAACACCAAAGTCACACAGTAACGCAAACTAACCAACCAACAGAGGCAGCAGTCGACCAGCAGCTCCTGTGTTCACAGACGTTAAATCAGGTGAATTAAGGTGAAGCAGTGAAAATATTCTGAATATAATGAACACTTAAAGTGATGTTTTACTTAAGTGGAACTTTTTTAAGTGTCTAAAGTACGTTTTGTTTCCGTGCACCTGCTGCTGCATCTGTGTCCTGCTGTGGACAGCTGTCCACAGCAGGACATTGTTTAGCTTCAGTGTCAGACTCTCCGACTGACACCTACTGTAGTAACACACTGATTATGCAGAAGTATCTCATACAACCCCACTTTAAAAAGTCTGAACTATCCCTTTAATGTGTAATCTGTAAATATAATACAAAAATCTACAAAAACAATTAAACAGAAAACACTAAATTTAAAACAGATCTGCAAATACAGATTCCACAAATAAAAAATAACTGAATAAATTTGATTTAAAAATAAATGACAAACATTTGTGAACATTTATCCAACATTAATAACTTTGAAACAGATATTTGTGAATCTGAGTTGTGTGATTGTGAATTTGCATTTTAGGTTCACTGAGACATTTTTTATGCCTCTGCGCTGGCGACAGCTGCGGCTGGAGACGCTGTGTTTTCAGCTTGTTTCCATCCGTCCGTTCCATTCTCATGAATGAGAGGGTCTTGAGGGGATTTCTATAAATTTGGCACAAACGTTTCCTCAGACTCACCAATGAGCTGATTTGATTTTGATGGTCAGAAGTCACTGTGACCTTAAGTCTCATTCTTGTGACCGCGATATCTGAACAACACCTTGAGGGAATGTCTTAAAATTTGGCACAAACGTCAACTTGGACTGAAGAATAAACTAATTAGAATTAGAATAGATCTTCTGTGTGTGTAGCATCCATGTTTTCACTGACATGGATGGAAACTGTCAGAGAAACGACTGGTGGGCGGAGTTATACAACAGCAGGGTGGTATTTTCAGTTTTTTTAACCTTCAGACTTTGTCAAACGCACAGATTGACGATCGCCAAAATATTTAGATAACTGACATATCACTGAGACTAATCGATCTCCATATTGTCATGTGACCCGGTGCAGCGACAACACAAACTCTGACCTCATAGCTCCACACAATAAGCTCCACAGAGGGCGTGTTTGTCGCAGGGTGTGTTTGTTTTGTCCACCTCTGTATCATCTCATGAGAACAGGAGGAGCAGAAGTTGAGAGTTTGTTTTAAAGATGCTTATTTAATTCAAATATCCAACATGAATCATTTTCCGTGCCGACTTCCGTCATGTGTTCGATGCTCAGATTCATGACACAGACGCTTTGCGGTGGGTTTTTAAGCCTCAGACAAGGTGTCTGGGATTCATACAGAAGAGTATCAATGCCACGACATTAAAAAAAGATCGATATCAGGTAGTAACATGAAAAGATTCTTGTTAGAACAGGATATTTTTCACATTTTTACAAGATTTTTTTATATTATAACAATATTTTCATGTTATAAGAAGAAATTTTCACGTTATAAGCAGATGTTTTCAAGTTATAATGAGATGTTTTCGCATTACAACAAGAAATCTTCACATTATAACAAGTTGTTTCCATGTTATAACAAACATTTTTCATATTATAACAAAATATTTTCATGTTAAAACCAGATGTTTTTGCATTTTAACAAGAATTTTTAATGTTACAACGAGATGTTTTCACATTATACCAAGGAACAAGGGAAAGCATGAAAAATATCTTGTTATAAAATGAAAATATTTTGTTAGACAAGAAACTTTTCTTGTTATTATCTGATAATAGTTTTGGGGGAGTTTTTGGCTTTTCTAGGCTTCTGTAGTTTCGTGTGTTTCTGCAGCAGCTACCGTCTCTGTCACAGATGTTTTATTTCCTGTTTTTTTCCGAATTCCTGTCATCACGAAGTGAAGCAGAGCTCATTTAAGTATCCGTTCTTTTATTTTGAAGGAGTCTGAAGCTGATAAACTTTACTAACATCAGAGCACAGATCACAGACGCTACACATTCAGCCTGAGACAGTGAGCGGCAGCGCTGCACTGTCAGGCGTTTTCTCTCCTTTTAAATGTGAAAACTTTATTTAAACGCCGTTGACATTTTTTTTCTTGCACACATGTAGCCTCGTTCCCTTTTCACCAGGGGACAAAATAAAACACTGGCTCTGCGTCAACATGTGCGGCGAGGATGGAGGAGTTTTTGCGATGTCACATTTACACTACCTATGTTTATATTTGCTTTCCTAAGTGCAATGAAGGGTATTTATTCAGCCATTCACGTTCATGTGTGTCAGTAACATGTAGCCGCCTGTATGACATCAGCTTGTTTTGCACGCGTCTCGTCCCTGCTTCCTGTTCAGAGCGTCACGTCCAGATGGAAATATTCCACATGAAGAATAAAACAAACTGAACTGTGGCTCTGTGGGAGGAGTGGAGAAAGTGGAGCAGGTTTCATTTTGTTTTCCTGGTGGTGGTAAAATTGCACTATTTCTGGGAAATTTTATAACCTTTCTTTATATTATGCAATCTTTGTAAGATTATCCGTGCACTGATTTTATTTTTTAACGACTGTGGTTTAGCTGTGTGCTGTATTTTCCTCCTGTATCACCCCGTGTCCGGACGGACACTCGTCATTAACGAACTCTGTGGTCTCGACGCCACCTTTTCATGAATAAATGTTAATCCTCATTAAAGTTTCGTCCCTTTTTTATGTCTCCACGACAGCTACAGATGGACGCGTTATGTTCTCAGGTTGCCTGTCTGTATTGTGAACACGATATTACAAGAACACCTTGAGGGAAGTTCTGTAAGTTTGGCACAAACTCTACTTGGACTCAAGAATGAATCGATTAGAATTTGGTGTTCAAAGGTCACTGTGACCTTGCACCATCTGACTTATAATTGCAACATCTCAACAACACCTTGAGGAACTTTTTCAGATTTGGCACAAACGTCCACTTGGACTCAACCCTGAGCTGATTCGATGTTGGTGGTCAGTGGTCACTGTGACCTTGCTTCCATATCATTTTTGTGAACACAATAGATTAACACCTGGAGAGAGGTGGGTTTTTTTAATTTGGCACAAATGTTCACTCTGAGTCAGGGATGAAATTATTAGAATTTAATGGTGAAAGCTCAAGGTTACTGTGACCTTACATCTGTACCAGTCTCCTGAACATCCGGAGGGAATTCCTTCAAATTTGACACAAACGTCCACTTGGACTCAAGAATGAACTGATTAGATTTTGTGGTCAAAGGTCACTGTGACCTCACAAAATATATTTTTTGGCCATAAGTCAAGAATTCATTCACTAATTATGACCAAACTTCACACAAATGTTCTAACAGGATAAAATAATGAAGGTCAAAAGGTCAAAGGTCAGCTTGACTGTGACATCATCATGTTTTAACGTCATATCTCAGGAACAGAAGGGGAGACATTTGGTCAGATACTGAATTGGAGACTCTAATCTTGAAACTGTGCTGATTGTATAGATCTTCTGTGTGTGAAGCATCCATGTTTTCACTGACATGGATGGAGACTGTAACTTGACGGGTTCGTGGAGACGTATGAACATGTGGCGGTGATTCTAGTTATTGAAGAACGGACCAGCAGGAAGCCGTCTACTGATCTGACTCATCTCAGTGCTCCTGGTGAGTTTGTAACTGGCATGTTGAACACTGGATCAACACCTGCAAGTTTATTAAGTTATTCAACTCTGTCTGCAAGAATATGTAACTTTATTTTATATAACAGATTTTACAATAAACCCAGATGTGTTTTACATTTAAACAAATATGCAGAAGAAAATAAATAAAATAAGTGCTACTACTGAATAAGAATGTGGCTATTAATCATAATTTATTATTTATTTAATTAAAGAATAATTTAATCTGATGACCCTGCCTGACTGTTGGCAAGAAAAAATGTTAAAACCTATATTTTTATGTTGGAAAAAAAAAAAATCAAAATTACTGAGATAAAACTGAAACAACAGAACTTATAACTTCATTTTAATTGTTAAAAATAAATAGTAGTAATAATAATAATAATAAAAATAAATAAATGTGAAGACAACCAGACAAAATGCAGTAATTTTATACTAAAGTCTATTATAATAAATATTTTATATAATAAACCAAACACATGGGAAAAAACCTAATATATTGAAATATATATTATTATTTTAAAAAAATATATTTCTAATTGTTTTTTATTAAAGAAAATGAGTAAAAAGAAAAATAGTTTGATAAAGAACAAATTTATATTTTACTGGCTCATAATTTGGTATTATTTATGTGAATTTCATAATCTTTGGTTTGTAAACTGACTCCCATGTATTTAAAATTAGCCGAAATGAATCAATACATTTATGATATATGCCTTTCCTTTAATTTCCTGTCACAGACAAAGATTCTGAATATCACATAAAATAATGTTAAGTCTTTATAAACAGTATAAACCATAAATTTGGAAACATCTCTGACGACAGCAGAAAAGACGCAGACACAGTTTGTGGATGAGCCGAGCGAAAACAACAGTTTATATCATCTTTAAATTTCTTCAGAAAATGTTCTGCAGTGAAAAACTTGTGCCTCATTCTGAAGGAAACTCTCTGATCTGATAAGTTATAAAGTTTTTATGACCAAAGTTTGGATGTGTCATGACTGGTGCTGTGCTGCAATTCCTCTGTGTGACCACTGGAGGGCAGTAAAGACACAGTTCTCACACTCCTCTCTGTCAGCCTGTCACTGTTCACACACACACACACACACACACACACACACACACAATAATTATTAGCATTATTATTATTATTCTCTCTACCAAACTACACCTACCAACCGTATTATTTCGCAGAAGGAAGCGTGTGTCTCACGGACGAGATGCTCATGTTTGTGACAAGGTGCGATGTAAACACTGATGCTGACCTTTTCACAACTCTGTGAATCCTGGGATGGTGAAGGAATGACCTGCCTTACTCTGCCTTTGATTGGTTTGCCCTGACGTTCTTACCCTAACCTTAACCATGCCAAGAACTTTGAAGAATATCGAACTTATCTGTAGCCAAGAATCAACGTCATCGTCCATACAGTGAAACAACGACAGAAATAAATCATAAAATAATGAGGCGTTTCTCTTTAATTGGAACCAAACCCCTCATTTATTTCCAGGGTACAAATTCTGGACGTAAAGTGTCACTGAATTGTCCAACAGGAAACATGAGGTGAGGCGGTACGGTGTCCTGGTGGTGATATTCTCTTTTCAGCAGACGGACAAACTCAGATGGAGGCTGATTATTGGTTTTGGACACAAGGCGGTCATTTATCAGACTGATAACAGCAGTCCACTCAACACTCTTCAACTCTCCGTCCACAGGAGGAGGAAGATCCTTCTTCAGGGAGGGAGGGGACATCGTCTTCCTCTTCATCACACTCAGATCAACTACGTGACCTCTACTTCTTCGCTTTCGTCTCCATCTTCACCATGTCTGCGAACTCTGTGAGACAAGGATGGACATCAGGGACTTAATGAAGCTGTGTTTCACATTTTGTCTTTTTGTTCTCTCTGATAAACCGTATGTTTGTTTAAATAAGCTCACACATTCTCTCTCCTGTTTACTGTGCACAGCCTAAAGAGTTACTCAGTGCTGCCCCTCAGTGGTGACCGCTGGGAAAATGTGACAAAGGCCCTCACCTGAATAGTCAATGCGTCCGTCTCCGTCAGTGTCCACAGCCTGGATCATGGCCTCCGCCTCCTCATCAGACAGAGGAGCTGATGGAGCTGCAGTCGGGACAGTTGACAGGATGTACCTGCAGAAAGAGCGCGTTATTAAAAATGTTCCTTCGTCAGCATGAACACACACTGGAGTTCTTTTCTAAGGTTTGTCCTCACTGTGTTTCTGTTCCTAAACTTTACCTCTGTAACTTTATGTTTATGATGTACCCATACGTTAAGGATGTACGTCATTCGTGGGCGTTTATTCTTAAGTTAAGTACATTGAGTGCCTCAGAGGATAAGCGGTCAGAGACAACAGATGGATGAATGGAAGTTTTACGTCTTCAAGTAAAGTAAGTAAAGTTTTGACCTTTTTAACTGGAACTGTTGACCATGAGAAAATGTCCTTTAAATGGGGGCGGGGCTCGTACTTGATCTCGTTCCACTCGATGTATCCGCTGCCGTCTTTGTCGAGCATGGCGAAGGCCTTCCTGATGGCGTCCTCTCTCTGCTCGGACGTCTTGAACTGCCTCATGTACTCCAGAAACCTGCTGTAGTGAAAGTTTCCTGCAGAGGGTGACATGAGATGACATCAGGCAGTGACATCACAGTGACGACTCATTCATCACACCGCCTTCCACACACACACACACACACACACAGAGTGTCACCATGCGTTCTCATCTCCTGTGGCATGCGCTCGATGTCCCGCTCCGTGAGCGAAGCGCCCATGGCCACAGCCACCTTCTTCACCTGCGGTCGAAAGTCGTCCTCCATGTTTTGCAGGCGTGTCCTGAGCCGGAGACCAACAGTTATTATTTACTTCAGTTATGTTGCAAACCACATTCATGATGAACATTTTCAAAGGTTTTACTATCAGCCTGTTTTCATTCATTAAACATCGTTGCTTTGTCTGGGATTTCGGTGTCAGACACTGACGCCGAGTGACACCTTTTGCAGCATTTTGATACCCTGCAGGTAGCGTCAGTTTTCAACGCAGCCAGACAGAGCCTTTTGCAGGGGTATGATACACCTCTGGCTGGCTGGACAGCAAATTTAGTGTTGGTATGATAAATTACTGCCTGTAACGCCATCATATAAGGAGCTGGAAAGTCCCTCTAAGAAGGGAGGGGAGGTGAACGGGTCCACATACCGCGGACTTTCACCCAGGAGCCTGCTGTTCTCTTCCTGTCTGAATGTTGATCCAAACCATGATGTTTTTATCTAAACCTAACAACGTGCTTTTGTTGATGAAGGAAAAAAAACATCAATTGGCGGTGTTGTACTGACGTAGTGCTTTTATTTTGAAAGAGACTGTATTCAAACTGTACATTTCCTGTGAAAACAGAGGTGTATTTTAAAAACAGACAATGCATGTAACAGGCTGAAGTTGACACGGTGTCTCAGAACGTCAACAACCAACACACCCAGGGTACCTTGGATGCCATATGTGGATGTGGAAAGTCCATGACCAAACGTGGACATGTGACGAGTGTATTGTTCAAGCTCCTCCAAACTGGGATTGTGCCGAACATCATCTACTGTATGTAACACCCAGACACAATAAAACCACATCACAGGACTAGTGTTGATTAAAGTCAACTGCTGCCTCCGCCAAAAAGTTGCACATCATTACACCACAAAAACGGCAGCTGACGGCCAACCATCACCAGCGTTCTGCTCCTGCTGAGAGGAAATAACTCTCCACCAGCAGACGGCGGTCGTCTGTATTCATCATTCTTGATGCTAGTTAGCCAGTTAGCACGTTAACAACACAATCGGAGCATATTTACCATGTGCCAGTGAACAACAACACAAACCATCAGGAAAAGTTTCTGCTAAAGAGAAAAATAATCTGACCTTATGGAACAAGTTTGGTTTGGTCTCGCTCCCTCTGGACTTTAGCTCTGCATTTACTTTGCTTATTTTCTCGTGCGCTGAGCTCATCTGACCATCAGCTCTGACATTGCTGGCGCCAATTCAACCTTCATGTTCTCACCCTGAGTTGTCACATGAGGCCACTTTGTCAGCAGCTTTTCACGTCTACATTTTACACCCCAGGTATCCTTCTGCGTCTGCAGTTGATGTTCGGGGACACTGCAACTAACACCAGGACGTCAACTCTACCTGCATACAGGAAGTGAACAATGGGCTTCCGGGTGAAAGTCCAGGGTTTGTTGGGACCATACACCTCCCCTCTCACCTGCCCTATAGAGACCTGACAGCTTCTCATATTGGGTTGATACTGGAGGCCAAACTGACGCCATCCAGCTGCGTTATAAACTGACGTTGCTTGGCGCATATTATACCGACATTGTTACTGGTGGCGTTTCTATCTGATGCTTCGTGGCAGCATATCACACCGCCACAAATTTGTGCATTGGTGTCTAACACAGAAATCACTGCGGGCTGATTCAACATGTTAAACTGGCTGAAAAAAACACAGACAAGGGCCAGAGAGGGGGGGCGGGGCTCTGAGGGCAACAGGCGCTCACCGACAGCCTGATACTGACCAACCGCCGACTGTCGGCCTGGTGTGTCAGGACTCTCACAGACACCTCACATTATAACCACTTCAAATATTCGCACTATCCCTTTAATGATCCCTCTGATCACCCTGCTGTGACTGACAGGAAGTTGTGTGCAGGTGATTTCCTGCGTCTCTTGGCAGACTCAGAGGCTTGTTAATCATCACAAGCGACTCCAAATCGATAGCAGCTGATCTACCTGCTGAAGTGATTAGTCAGAGCTGGGTTACTCATGCAGGATGGGTCACAGATATTTTGGGTCCTCGTCTTCACAGCGTCTGTTAGTGGTGATCTCAGAGGACACATCATGTCAGTGTGTGAGTATGAGAGACGTGACGGGGGGAGTCAGGGACTGTGATGAACGAGCAGAGATCCTCAACATGAAGCAGAGAGCGTTGCTGCGTTTCCTCTGGTTGTTTCATCATTCCTCCTCCGCCCGTCGACGCTCCCACTTTCACACCATCATTTACACTTCAAGAACTTTCTGATGGAGATGAATGTGTGTTTTTTCTCACTGGCCTGACGCTACACACACACACACACACACACCCGAGATCAAACGAGACCGTTCTGCTCTAAAGAGAAAAAGTCTGCAGCTTCTTTTCGACACCGACAAACGAGCACCACAGCAGCAAACCAGAAAACTAGAGTGAAATACTGGACCTCATCATCAGATCCATCCCATCGACATGTATCCTGTCTAGAGCTACTCACCAGATTCAAGGTGTCCTGGTGCAGTACAGCCCACCCTCCCTCTCTCTGCCTGTCTTATATACGAGGAGGACGCAGCCTCCGGCGGCCTTGCACCTGTCCTGTTCTCCCCGGCGGAGACATTCTCCATTAAAACTTTGGCTCCTGCTGCGGCACACAGGACACATCTCTGCAGATGTACTGAGGCAAGACCCCACATTAGGCCTGTTAATGGGGTTGAACTGGAGGACAGCCCGGGCGGCACTTGGAAATGAGACAGAATATTTGGTGCATCCAGAGTTTCTCAGTAAGATTTCTGCAGTGTGCCTCAGAAATAACTGCTGACACACACAGCGACATCTTCACCCACCAGTCATCAGTTATGCTCAACGTTAGAGACGGAGACGGACGGAACCTTCTGTTCGAATTCTGCGTTCATTTCATCCATGTTTGTGTACGTTTTCTGAAAGTTTACGAACCACCAGGAATGGTGGAGGCAATGTAGCGTAGTTCAGATACGACCACACAAAGAAATTTAAATACAACCAAACAAAAAATCAGTAATATAGTGAGAGGAATTCTCCGTCCGCGTGTCAGGATGTAACGTTACATGGCCTCCATTTGAAGGTACAATATTACCACCTTCTCCACCATCGCCTTATTTGTTCCGACTCCGCCCTCTAGTGCCACCTACTGGCTGTATCTATGCCAATAGAAAGGACACATGGAAGCTTGAGGAAGAAATGGCCTTAAATGTTGGAGCTGTGCATTTCTGCGAACCGTGAATACATAACATTTGTACGTTATTATGAAGCTGATACATTTAGATTTAAACTGAGGTCATGGTTTGGAAAAGATCACAGCAACAGGTCGCTGTAAAACAACCTGCGGTGGTCTGCAGCTCAGCAGACATGTCTCTCTGAGGCGTCACCATCCACCAGCCCCTCCACCTCCTGATGACACAGGAGCTCATATGCTACATCACATTACAAACACTGATGTAACACTCGGGCCACACTGCCTGTATGAGCAGCCAACACGATCTCATCCCAGCTCCTCAAATATGGCCGCTCTGTGTGTGCCATTCAGATTTGAACTACAACTGACTTGTTGGGTGTCCTCCTGTGTCTGTTGTTGACGTTCTGGGATGACGTGTCAGTTTACACCTGTTACATGCATTGTGTCTTTCAAAATAAACTTCTGTTTTCACAGGAAATGTACAGTTAGACACAGACAGTCCTTTCAAAATAAACTTACAGCACCAGTAAAACACCTCGTTTTTACGTTCATTTCCTCGTGCAACAAAAGCACCTAGTTAGGTTTTAAAAACATCACGCTTTGGCTCTACATTCATACAGGGAGTGAACAGTGGGCTCCAGGGTGAAGGTCCAGGCTTTGTTGGACCCATCCACCTCCTCTCCCACCCTACAGGGACTTCTCAGCTCCTTAAATTACATTGTTACTGGCAGCGTTTCAAACACAAAATCGCCCAGTCGAAGCCTCAAGGTTTCTCGTTCCTCAACCACTGTAAATTTATAGTTGGTTTTCTATACTGTTATTCAGTCCAGCAGTGTAGCTGTAGTGACGGCGACTTCAGCCTCTTGGTTGAAAACAACTGTTGGATGGACCGACGTCATGTTCATGTCCCTCTCAGGATGAATCTCATATTTGAAGTGTATCTGATTTTTCCACCTGCTCCTGTCACCTGACACCTTCATCCACATGCTTCCTGTCTCCACCTCCCCTCGTCAGCTCATTTCCTGTCCGATGGTTGGAGTTACTGTGTGAATCTGTCTGCCTCTGTGTTTGGGTCCAATCCTGCGTTTCCTGATTTGCGATGATGACAGAAGCAAATCAGGACCTATTCATTCATCTTGTCTCTCCTCATTAACCCGAATGTTTTGTTTTTTTCTGGAATCACTGGAGTCAGCTGATTCTCAAAGCAGGCTAAGGCCCTGACACACCGAGCTGACGGGCCGTCGGTGAGCTCCTGCTGCCCTGATTTCTGCGGTGTGTCCTTGTCGGCTTTGTTCAGCTGATTCAGCACATCGTCTCTGCTGTGACAAAAATCCCTCTGAGTGTCAGCTCTGCTCACGCTGCTTCTCTGATGTGGGTTTGTGTGTCGGGGCCTTTAGGCTGCTCAGAAAGGTTTTGACATGTTAGTGATGTTCTGACATACAGAACACTATGTAGTTGAGTGTTCCTGATGCCAGAGCCAGTTATACCTGACCCTTAACACCTGTAGCTGACCTCTGCAGGCAGGAAGTGGAGACCTGCTTCGTTTCACAGGCAGCATCAGCACTTTGATCAGAAATCAGTGTTACAGTGATGAATCAGTTCGAGGCGACGGTCCCGGCTCCCTGCCAGCATCACGACGCTATCAATATACTGTCATTTTACAGTATCGACACTGTCTGTTACTGTAAAAATGAAACACAGCGTATTTCTGTGATGATTTGGGTTGACAGTAACATCCTGTTTAGGGTGTCCTAACAGTTTGCTGTCAACAGGCACAGTCGATAAAACAATAAACCTAGTGTTGTCTGTGAGCTGTGGCAGGAAGCTAAAACTCTTAAATTCAGCTTGTCACAGACTTCCTTCACCCCCTCACCACATGACAACACCTGCATGATGCTTAATTCTTTTGGCTGATGTTGATAGCAGGAAGTAAAAAATTCCATTTTCAATATATATAAATGAATATATCAATGAGAATGTTGTTCCTCAGATGCAGACCATTATGAAAACGATACCAAAACAAATTGACAGAAAGCGCCCTTAAACACAGGCTAACTGTTGGAGCTATTCAAATCTCCATCTCAAAATCTCCATTTTAAAACCAGCTCAACAGCCTGATGAGCTTCAGTCTGATATAAAATAAGACTTTAATTATCATCCACTTTGTCGATGTTAGAGCTGATCAGTGTTGATGCAGCAGGACTTGTGGATGTGCGACACATGTCCTCCAAACTCTGCGTCCTCCTTTAGAAAAACTGCTTTCAAATGACAGCTTCTGACGTCCCTTCAGGAGGTGATGACAAATTACTACTGTCTGTTTTCCTGAAAGAAAACTGACCATGAAACATAAAGCGCGAGCCTGATGTTAGAGTAATGTTTTATCAAACACCAAATTCTGCATCCAACACCTATTGTACAAAATGTTCATGGCCTCCGTCCTGTTGCTTTTGTTTAACCAGACGTTGACGTGTTTGTTGCTGAGGTAGTGCCACAGAAAGACGTTTGGTCAGAACCATGTTAGTCAAAGAAAACTTTATTTCCATTTACAGTATTATATTTGGTGGTATGGCTCCTTTCTGGGGCCTCTCTGCCCTTCCTCAGGCCTACACAGAAAGCCTAAGGCAGAGAGAGCACACCTCCCTGCCCTGCCCTTCCATGCGCCTACATGGAAAGCCTAAGGCAGAGGGAGCAGCAGCAAAGACAAAGAGATCATCAACAGATCCATAATAACATACAGATGTAAACAACAGACCCGCTATCAGGTGATTATTGTCAGTAGCTGATAATCTGTTAATCATGTTCTTAATCAATAATGGTTCAGTCATTTGGATGCCTGGGTATTTGGAGACAGCGGGCTCACAGGTGTGTGTGTGTGGGTGTACTGCTGCATCTTTTAACATCAGGTGAACTGTGTTTGTATCAGTGATGTTTTGTTGAGAGACCTGAAACCTTTGAGTCAAACGTCTCTGATGTCACTGATCTGAAGGTTGGAGCGAGACCACGGTGTGACAGCCTCAGAGATTTAAAAACTTCAACGCCCTTTGAACAAAACTGTCCTGCACAAATAAAGTGAAATGAATCTCATGAAGCTCCTGACACGTGTGCTGAAGGACTCTGATTGAGAGTGACTACATGAGGAGACGTTCAGCCGAGGCCTCACATTCAACAGACGCGGAGGATCAGCGCAGACAGCTTCCTAATGATGTGTGAACACACAGAGCTGTATCCTGTCACAGAGTGTATGATACTACTGCTCTGTGCTGTGTGTGAAGATATGTTGAATCATGCATTCACGTTTATTCCTGTAAGACACAGCGCAGGGCAAACATTGCACAGAATGAGTGAGGAAGAGCAGCGAGCTTCAGACATGTTACATGTTGATGGAATGAGGCCGTCGTGTGCTGTGAAACCCAAAATACACCAGAATAACTGTGAACATTATTCTACACGTCACATTTTACTGTCCCCACAGGAAACACAGCTTTCTGTGGAGCTTTGTGTTTAAACAGCTGATTAATGATTCAGAGTTTGAAATATGAACAAACCCTGTAAAAACTTTTAGAACACAGACAGGAAGCAGAGTGTACAGTTTGGTGATGTCGGAGCCTTTAAAAATATGATTAAATAAAGTTACAAACGTTTTGGAGCAAAAATAAAACGTTGACATTTTAACTGATGAAACTTCTCCAGCTGATCACTCACATTAGGACAATTAGTTTTTGTATCACAAGTTGTCTGAGTTGGTTAAATTCAACAAAATCCTTATGAGTTGCTGGGATAGCATGTTAGCGTGCTAACTAGGTAGGCTATGCTAACACATTAGCTTGCCAATAGGCCAGAATATTGTTCAGTAACAAATAGTAAAGATAATATCGTTTTTCAGATGGATGGATGAGGAACGTTTGTGTCTTCACTAAATTCTCAGAGTTCATCTCAGCTCTGTTGTGCTGTGGTGGAGGCAGAACTCTTTAATAAAGTGGAAATAATGCTGTGTCTGTGTGAAAAAATCCTACAAAATAAAATGTAAGCAGAACTTCATTGCATGTTTTTTATAAAGCTAAAATAAATCTACACTTTTATTTTCTTACTGTAGAAACAGGAAGTTGAGGTGGGACAGAATGCAGTGAGGCACCTTTAGAAAATGTGAACCAATAGTCAGTCCAGGAGAGGCAGGCAGGGGGGTGGGGCCTCAGAAGACTTGTGATGTCACTACTGAAGATTAACCTCCAGGAAGTTCCCAGAGGAGTTTCACTGCTGTTTGATGATGAGACTGAAGAGATGAAGGACACCGGCAGCTGCCTGTCAGGTGAGACAAACATGTCTCACAGAGACA